TTATTATATTATATTATATTATATTATATTATATTCTCGATTAGATTCCTAATAATCTAACTAATAATTATAACAGATGATATTTCTATTACACTTTTTGGAACAGATTTAGTTATACATTCAATTTAAATAATTTATTATTTATATTTTAATATACTTCCAATTTTCAATTTTAAATAATATACATTATCATCGCAATCATAACATATCCATAAATATTTTTATTTAATCTGGAGGATATACGATTTAATTAATCTTTGACTTCTAATTAATCGAGCTGTAATTTTTCACAGAAGTAACTGCATTCTTTATGCTAGGCAATTTTAAAATCTGAGATTCCTAAATTAAGTCTATTGGTATGATCTTTTTCCAAGATTCTTCAGTTTAGATTGAAAGATCAGAAAATATATTATGAGCTAAATATAAATCCATAATGACTAAATTTTCTTTACTAACTTCAAATGAAAAATGGCGAAATGATGAATAATAATATTTTTCAGGATCAATATATTTACAATTGTTAGAGAACTTTTAACATTTATATTATTAGATTTATATGTAAGTTAAGCCATAAACTTTATTCATTCCATAAAATGGTTTTTAAAGTGTATAAAAAATTAAATGAGCATAAAAGAGAGGTTACATCTCCTTTAATAGATTATTTTCTTTTAATCTTTAATTAAAGAAATATGCTATTTAGCAAGCATAACAAGAATCTACTAATTCTTCGTTATTGGAAATCTCTTCTTTAGTTAATATCTTTGATTATCAAAATATTATTTTGGAATTTTAATAAAAACCTCTCTATAATAGCATAATTTCCACCTTCTTTAGCTTCTCATCCCTTTATAAAGCTCTTAAGTTCATCAATTTTTTTAGTAAAACTCCAATAAACTATCTAATCCTCCTTATCACATATCTCTTTATATCCTACAAATGCTACTCTTATTTGATATCCATTAATTGATTTTATAAATTTATCTATTATTATATCCATTGTATGTTGCATAAGTTCTTTCTATTGTTTCAAAGATTCAAGTTAAATCTATAATAAAAACAATTTCTATACCATTTTATTAATCAAACCTCTTTTAATAATGAAAAAATTCTGATTATGAGCAAAATAATTACACCTAGCCCTATTTGCTTTACTATGATTTGTATAAACATCTGAAATGTTATAATTGCATTTTACTATATAGCTAAACAAACTCTTTGATTGTAAAGTCTGTCTCTAAAGACATTAAAGAAAAAATTTCATTTAGGTTTTAGAAAAAACTAAACAACTTAATTGGATCTTTGTAATTTTGATAATTTAAAATAGTGTATTTCAATATAATAATTAATCATTAAGATTGATCCTCATTACTTTTTTATAATCATCTTCCAGATATCCTTCTGCTTTACAATTTTTAATCTCTTAAATCACTAAGTAACATATCTGATCCTGAGAAATTTATTCCATGTTTAAGTTCTTAAGATTTAAGGAGAGGATCAGGGCTTTACAATAATATTAATGAATCATCTTATTATAAATCCATAAAATTCTTTCTTCTTTAAGATTAAATTAATTCCTTAAGTGTTTTAGCAACTTTTCTGAATTTGGTAGAAGAGGAATTCCTTTTTTTTTAAATCAGAATATTTTTACAAATCGGCAATCTTAGTATGAGAGGAAATTTAGTTTTTATATAATTTTTAATTTTGTCTATTAAGATTGAATTATTGTCAATATATTCTTGAATTACCTTGCTAAATATTTAATATAAAAATGCACAATTAGCTTCTAAAATGATAACATAAAATATGTAAATGTAATTTTTCAAGACTGTTTATAGCATTTAATATGAAGATGCTCCTAATACAATACTAATGGACAAAACTTTGGATCCAAATTCTTCCATTTAATTTAAATTCTTTGTTTTAAATGGTTAATATGATTTAGTTAATGATTAATAAGCTTGTATCAATAGAAATACTATTGTAGCTTTAAGTACAATGTATTGATCAAATAAAGTAATAATAATAATTACAAAATTTTTCATACCCAATCTTACAAGTTCCCAGAAATATGCATTTTCATTAAATTCAGAAAATAAATAACCCCATTTCGATTTAATTTTGTTTAAAGAATTTCTATTTTGATATAATTTAATAAACATGAGTAATGGAATAATAACAGTTAATCCAAATAATATAGGTAAAGCCAAAATGGAAGAAAAGTATAAATTATTATCATATCTATAAGATACATCACCAATAACCCAATAATATCCTGAGATTTCACGAAATCCTAAAATTGATATTAAAACTCCAATCATACTTGGTTACATAGTTACAAAGGTTTAAAGTAAAATAATCTATGAAACATTTAATTTTTAGTTTTATCTTCTTGCCAATATAATGAAAAAATATATGAAAAATACGAAACATAAATATAAGCAAGGTGCAACTATTATCCAAATTATTCGGGAATGTAAAATATCCATTTTTAATGTGATCAAAAAGCAATCAATTGAATTTTCAAGAGATTTTGTTGGTGATCCTGTACTACTAATAGCAATATTTACCAAATTTGGAAATTAAAGTTAGAAGGTTGTTAAAGTAGATATGATTTACAAATAATGAAACATCATTTTATACAATGAACTTGATTCTTATGAATCAGCGAATGTTTTTAATCCTCCTCCTTTTAATTTAGTTCTTAGAAATTCTAATTTAAGAATTTCAAGAGAACTATTTACTGATATGACCATAGAAATCAATGTCCATAAGCCTACAATTAATAAGGATAAGTAGGCAAGATTTGAATCTTAACATTAAAAGCACTACATATTTGATTTGAAATATGACCCTTATCCTCTAATATCATAAATATCACAAGTTTCACATAATGCTCCAAAACTTCCTTATATACATGAATCAGGTCCTGCAGCCCAACCACCTAAACACTTCTCAGGATTTATGATACATGGATAGATTTCATCATTATCAAAATATGGTCTCCAATTTGTGGGTTTAATTTAAATATTTGATGGTATAACACTTTCTATCATTTCTTGATCCCCAACTGAACACTTTAGACTATTTTCTTTTAAAGAATACGTTTAACCAACACATTGTACACACATTGATTCAGTCAAGATTTCGCCTCTTTAACATGGAAAAGTTTTAACATTAATAAGTAGAGAATAATTATTATGAAACTGTATGATATGTTAATTTTATTTATCATAGATTGGAATCTTAATAGAACTACATCTTATTTCTAATTATAAATCTTCATTAGTTAATATTCTTAAATTATCTAAATTATAATCTTGAGTAGTCATATTAAATTAAACATTATTAACTGATAAATAATCTGTTGAATCATTATTTGATATGAGTCGACTTAAAATATTACATTAAGTATCTTATAAATGATATTATCTTTCATAAAAGTCATTTAATGGTCTTAATCTAAATTTATAATTTAAATTATTATAAACTTAAAAAGATGAAATATAATTTAGTTAATTTCCTAATAAACCATGTTCACTAAAGTTTTTAGACAATATTTAATAATTTTATATTTCCACATTGTTTGGTAACATTATTTAATTAATAACTTCTTCAATTTTACAAGTTTCATTCTAATATTTAACTCTATTTTCAAATACTTAGAGATTGTCTAATGATAATGCTAATTTTGATGGATAAGATTACAAATACCCTAATATATCACTTTCTTAATTGTCCTAAATAATATTTCCTCGATTTTATTAAATAGACAGAGGATGTGTTGAATAAATTCCAGCCCCAGATAATGCAATGTTGCCAATAATCTATGTATCTGTCATTTCTAAAGATCCTTTATTCAAATAAATTGCTCCACCAAACATAGCTGTATTATTTTGGAATAAGACTGAATAACATGAAATAGAAACTTCAGATGCATAAATACACCCGCCATTTTAACCTTTATTGCTAATAAATTGTGTGTTTTTAATTAAAACTTGACCCATCTTAGTCATTATATCATCTGCATATTTAAATAGTAATCTATTTTTAAAATTAGTTTTTTTAATATTTAAAATAGTGCTGTTGCCAATGTTTTAAATAAATTTAGTGTGCTAAATTACTATACGATTGTTTGATTCCACCAAAAATATACTGCAATTAATACAATGTATATTGGAGAATATAATAGAAGTAATTTATACTTAAGATTCTGTTTGGAATATTTAAAAAATGTTGAAATTTTAGTAATCATATGAAATAGTCAAATTTTAGTCACATAATTTTAAATAGTTATTAAACAATGATGATAATGTATGAGATTAATTTATACATTAATACTTCAATTATTTTAATTATAATTAAGAGTAAACACAAATAACTTTTGTATAATTTTGATAAATGTCATGAAAGCGACTATTAGTAATTATTATAGGGCCTAGGGAACGATCAAAAAACATTAATGGTCTTTTCTGAATAATGAAATTTATAATATTGAGTGTATCTAATACAACAGAATAACTCTGTTTATCTGTGATGAAACCATATCCAATGATATTTTGAACCACTAAATTCTTTATACTTAATTTTCCTTTTTGGGTTTCAATGAGAACAGAATCATAAGTATCAAATGTGAATATATAAATAAGGTCTTTCATTTAGAGTAACTTCAAGTAATCTTGATACCCTATCTTTGTATTTTGAATAATGCAATCTTCAATTTACAATAAATATTACTATGAGATAAAATCATTTATTTCAATTGAAATTAATGAGGATTATAATGAATGAACATCAGTTATAGAAACATTTTAGAATAAGATTGACGATTAATCTGATAAAGTTATCATAACAAATCCTCCCTTATCAAAACTCCAACTATTTTGAATAGTACAATTAATAATCTAAAAGTCCAATTTAGAACCTTTACTGTCTATGATGAAGGTTCCACCTTAACTCTCAAGTTATCCTATAATTGCTTAACCATTCTTGAATACTGTATTTATAATCGAAAAAATTCCATTATTCAGGGTTATTATATACATGCATCCACCTTTATATCCAGTATAAGTTTCAAATTAACTGTTAGAAATTTAAATTTCTTCCACATAAATTTAAGCTATTCCACCATAGCTCTTAACTTTAAAATCATGTTCTAATTACTCTTTATATTATAGATCATAATATTTAAATGAAAGTACTTCATAAAATAGTTTATTAAAAATATTCATATCTTTGAAAATGCACATAACTATTAAGAATTTTTAACACTAAATATACATATTTGAATTCAAAGAACCTATTATTAAATTTGATCTGAAGATATTATTATAAAAGTAAACAGATCCCTAAGGGACCAAAAAATATAAGTTATTAGCTGATGATCCATAAGTATTAAGTCCAATATATTCTTTATATATAGTGTTTATAAATCTTGAATTAGTAAGATTGATAAAAATATTATTTTTTGATTCTATCGCTATGAATGCCACTGTAATATTATTAGTAGATTTGATGATTAATGAATCTTGAAATATAGAATTATTAATATTAATCAAACATTCAAAATTGAATTAGGTACTAATTATTTTTATTACTGGTTGGTTATAAGTAAAAATATTAGTAAAATTTACAATTTAAAATTCTATCCTTTTGATATTTAATAAATTTATAATTGGTTATTTAGAATCTAATAAATTTATACAATCCAAACTTTGAGATAAACCAGCCAATTAATATTTTTAATAAATTGTAATGTTTACAAAACTAAAAAGATCCAAGTTAGTTGCTTCAAATATAGCACTTATTTAATTATCGATTTCAATTATGCTATCTTTCAAAGTAAAAGAATTAGAAAATATTTTAAATGCATAATTTACATCATTTTCAATTGGAGGCATTAACATTTCTAAATTTATAATCTAAAGCACGGTTGATGATTCAACATAAAGAAAACTTGAAGAATGATAAATGGAATTAAGGAAAAATTAAATATGATCCAACAAAATATCAAATTTCTAAATTTTGTCACTAACATGTACAAGGTAGCTATTTTAAGTAATATAATTTCCTTCGAAAAGTGAATTTAACAATTAGATGTTTTAAGATTTACTGATATATGAAGAATCTTTTAATTAATTCATCAAAACTTAAAAATTGTGGAATCGATTATCTAAACCTTAAAAAGCAGATGACATTTCAAATGAAGTCTATTTTATAATAAATTTTTCAATTAAGGTGATTTAATTAGTATAAAATAACTTTGAATTATATAGATAATTTGATTCAATGGTTATAGAATTTAATATTAATTGATCCACATTTTGGAAATAAAAAAAAGTAGAATTTCTAAAAATAACATTTGATAATCTTAAATTTTAGAGGATGACTGATTATATTGATTCTATTTTAAGTAAAGATTCTAAATTTTCAAATTAAAATCCATCCATTTATATATTAATCATAGAGAATGCTAGCAAGTGAGAATATTAAAAATTGAAAGAGCCTTTCCCCTTAAAGTTTGCATTCTCAAAACCAATGGTTGTTTGATCTTAATTAAAATTGAAAGTAATAGAAGCATCAGAAAAATCAATATTCAAGTTTTTAATCCACAAAGAATGAAATTCTTTTATATAAATATCTCCTAAGAAGTTAACTGTTGAATTTGAATATAATCCCATAATATATAAAGATACTTTTTTTAAAGTGTAAACATTTTGTGAGAATTCCTGAGATATAACTAAATTTTTAGGAAAAGTGCAAGTTTAAGTTGTAAGATATATGTTTAAAGTTTAGACATTTTATTCATTCATATAATTAAATAGACCATTTGAATATAACAATTAAAATACATAAGATAAATCTAACTCTTAATTATAAGGTATATCGAAAACATTGGAAGTTGATTAACCTTATATGCATATTAAGTTCAATGAAATAGACATACTCATTTAACAAGTTTTATCATTAGGGCAATTACTGAATTAATAAATATTGGAATCAAAGACTGTATCTTCAAATACAGGTAATAAGCATTAATTAGTGAATTAAGTATTAGGGAGGTTTAATGATGGAACACATAATTTACATAAACTATGACATTAATAACATATATTGTTATTTGTACTTAATATTAATCCATGATTTGAATAAGAGCATTTAGAACAAACTTTGGTATTATTGATAATTAAGCATTCTAAACAATCTGATGGACATTTTTTTATGCAGTTATCATTATAAATTTCATATCCTGTTTGACATGTAATACATATTACTTCGAAATCATCTGGATCACTTGATTCTACATAAGTGAGGTAGTCATGATTCACATTTTTGTTAACATAAAATTCAAAAAATGGTCTTATGTCTTTTTTCCAATTACTTTTATTCTTTTTAAATTATTGTGAACAGGATTAACATTACTTTGGACATTATACACACATTCCAACAATATGATCTGCATAATAACCAGGAAAACAATTTAAACAAATTATTTTATTTAGATAATTTACACATTCATAACAATTTTATAATTTCTATTCACAACCTAAAATTGATGATGCTGTTTCTCCACCAATTAAGCAATAAAAAGTACCATTATAGAATCCTGATTCTTAACAAACTTAAGATGATTTATAACATGTAGATGAAACATTTGAATATGTATATCCAGAGATACATCTTGCACAAATATTTGTAATTAATGAGTTTATTTACATAGGTTAAAAATATAAATCAATTGTTGTTTAAGGATAATCAACAAAATAATACTATTAAATGCTATAAAAACAGTATTTAATAGTAACCATTTAACATTTTAAAGCATCAAAAGATATTTCAAATAAACTCGGATCTTTACACTTTAAGCATCTATTTATAAAATATTGTTTAACTTCATCAAAATAAAATTCACAAATTGAGCATTATGCTCCACAACCATAACATGCACCTTTAAATAAGGCAAAACTAGGTTAACAAGTCAAACAATTTATATCTGAATTACAAATGGCACAATTAATTGGACATTTTTAACATCTTAAACCATCAAATTCATAAAGCTTAATACATTTATTACATGTTTATGAACTATTACAATTTATACAATTGTCCATACATTTTTAACAAATATTGCCTTACACAAAATATCCTTATTTACAACTAAAATAGTGATGATTAAATTAAATACAAGATATTTTTGTTATATCATTACAATATTTTAAGCATCCCTAACATAATTCTAAATTCTATAATTAACTATTTATATAAAATATTTCCTATTAACTTTCATTTCTATTAAATTTTAAATAAGTTGATGTTAAGGCATATCTCTTATAATCAAAAGTACAAACTGGATTTTAGAACCAATTGCCGGAATTAAGTAAGCAATCTGCACAATTTAATTGATAATCATTAATTGAACTAGGACATGACATACATTTATTATCAATTACGAATTCTCCATAATTACACTTAAATGTATTATTTTAATATGTTTGATTCATTATAGGATATAATTCATTCATTTTACTGCACTTTTGAGTTAAATCTAAATCAACAAATCCAAATTCACAAGCACAAAATCCAAATTTCCATAATCTGTTTGAGTTTTATGGACAAGTGACACAATCACTCTAAGTTGGTCCATTGCATGTTAAACATGAATAATAACATTTCATGTCGTAAGTTTATTCTTCCTCATAATTATATGTAATTTCTAATTGAATTTTACCTGCCAAATAACTTTTATAAAAAAAACTATCTGCTCCAACATATAGATAAACATATTGATTATGGAATTACAAAGCATTAAATGTTTAAATCACTTCTTAATCATCTGGATATATTACTTTTAAATAAGTCTTTTCAACTAAATATTGATAATAAATATAATGCCATTTCTAAAATCTATCTCGATTTGTTGTATTTTAAATCACAAATGTATTTTTACTTCTTGTATAAAAAGCCAACTAAGGATATGGATAAGTGTAAGCTAAAACACTTACACTAAATAAATTATAATTAGTTAAACTTGGATCCAAAACATAACTCATTAATAATACTCTATCTCCCAAAAAGCTATCATTACGATAATTTTCATTTAATGTCAATCTCATTAATAAATATCTTTGTCTTTCTATAACATTTTCATAACTAACTTTGACCCAACATCTAATCTAATATTTATAACCTAGTAAAGAAAATTTGGTTTAGAAAAATACATCTCCCAAAATTTTAAGTCCATTAAAAATATCAACTGTTGTTTTATTGTACGACTATGGACTTTAAATGTTTCCAATAACAAATTCTTCAAACTCATTATCATTATTAAATGGTTTTCTTGTGAAAAATTACATTTCACTATATTTACCATGAAAATAATCAAAGTTTAAATTATTCACCTAAACGATAAATTAAATTTATTAATACTTTTCCATATTAATTTAAAACAGGGATTATATTTTTTGTATTCAATAACAAACTCCATAATTAACTTCCTTTTATATATAATTTTGATCCTTCTTCCAGATTTTCAAAATAGACATAAAACCAAATTCCTTCAAAATTTGTTGGATCTTAAGTCAAATTAGTAATTGTTCCTTCATCACTAACTGTAATATTCAGAGTTACAGAGTTAAATGAAAGCCAGATATATAGTTTTTATTAAGTTGTTCCTTAATTAAAATTGTAGTTTGCCATTATATTTTATCCAATAAAAACGGATTTATCATTTAAAATAAATTCTCCTGATGCCTTTATATTAGAGAAAGGTAAATATTGAAACCAAAATCCATGATTGGTTGTCTATTAAACGCACTATTTAATTAAAAGCAATAAGACAAGCATATATTAAAATTATTTAATTAAAATTAATCTGTAATAAAATTAATTTTCTTTTTCTGTTACTCGTTTTTTTCCACATTTCTTATCTCTGATTCATTCAGATTATTAGAGTTTAGGATTATTTGACAATACCGTCAATTTTTCAGGATTTGATACATTTTTCAGTTCATCATTTATTTTTACACTCATATTATCAATTAATTGGTGAACTTTAAAGGATACTGTTATTCTTGAATATAACAATTGATTCATAGAATTATTTTAAATAAACGATAATTTTGTATAATTCTAAAGTTTAATATGTTTTATTCCTCAAAATATAATATGTCTTTGAAATATAAGATGATAATATCAAAGAGTTATTCTATTGAATTATAGGATATATTAACATTTCTTTTGTGTAATAAAATTTAAGACTCTCTCCTAAAATAAAAGATTCATTAAATTAACAGAACTTTAAACCTGATTGTTTTCCTAATTAAATCATTAATCATTGAAGGAAATCAAAATATTTTTAATTATATCAAGCCCTTGTTTGTTTTGAATTCTTTTTGAAACTTAAGCCTAAAAGCACGAGGTATTATATTTGGAATTTAATTAGGTCATCCTGAATTAAAATCTACTTAAAATATTCATTCTTCCAATCTTTTTAAATTTATAGTATTAATGATTCTGTATTTATATTTAGTGCATAAATAATAGTATTTATCTAAACCCTTACTATAAATTAATTTCAAATTAAAAGATACATATAAGAGAACTAGCTCAAATTTTTAAAAAACTTACAACATAAATACCCTCATTTAAACTAATAATACAATTAAATTTGAGTATTTACTATTTCCTCATTATCTTTTTATTTTTCAGAACAACCTCTATCATTAGACTTTATGTAAATTAGGCTAAAATTTTAAGCATATAGGAAAGAAAAAATTTCGTAATTAGGCTTCATTAAGCAGATTTAAACAAACACAGCAAAAAATTAATAATTTAAAAATTCTATATTGATGTTGTTATTTATATTGATAGAGCATGAAGTAGATTCATAAATTGATGGGTCCTAAATCAAATATTATAAACTAATTTTTTATATATAGTAGTCAAAAGAAATTTTGATTGAAATTTCATATAAAATATATTTTAATATGAGATATGAACTTTTATGAATATTTATAATTTATTTGATGATAGTCAAATGTTAAAATGTAAAGAATAATAAAATTGAATATTATTTCAAATTTTTATAAGAAAGAAGGCTTCAATTGTAAAATAAATTAAATAAAATAACTCAGCCAAAATAATAAAATTAAACTTTAAATTATTAAGGGTCAAAGGATTGTTTACAACTCAAGGATAAAAGAGATTGATCTGAAAGAGACACTACAATGATATAGCTTTAATATAAAAGAATAAAAAATGGTCTATGGTTTGAATATTTAAAAAATAAAGCGACAAAAATTTTGAATAAAGTGGAAATTTAAAAAATCAATTCATTAATTTTTGGTTTTGATTTTTTTTCAAAAATAATGAACCCATTTTGCAAAAATATAATTCAGTTGTTTTGAGAGGAAAACAGTAGAAGGTCTAGATAAATCATTCAAAGATGGCTAAACATTATTAGGAATGCCACGAAATCTTCCTCTTAAAATATTTACTATCATGAAAGAATTTAAGAGTTGGATATTAATGATCAACATTAAGATTGTTTGCAAGCCTTACTTGAGATGAAATTTTATCTATTATTGGAAAGAGAATCTAAATTAATATTAAAGCCTTCATAATTATGTATGATCGATTATATTTCTGATTATGAAAACGATTATCTTATGAAAAAATATGAAAGATACATATAAAATAATTTAATTTAATTAAGAGAAATCAACCTATATTTATTTTATGAATAATTTAGTTGCTCATGATCCTTAGCAAATAGAAAGATATAGCACTGTTTAATAAGATGGAGTGATTTGGAATTATTGGAAAAATCCTCCTATATCAATAAAAACAAAATTCTAAATCACTGTTACGAAAAATAATTAAATCATATATATAAAAGATGGTTCAATCATAAGAATGTAAATATGAATATATTTACCTTGAATAGTGATTAAAATTAAGATCTCTCCATTTAATAACAATATTTAACTAATTTAGAATAGATATACAATTTGCAATGGATTGGAAATTATGGACAAAAAAAATAAAAGATTTCCAAATGGACAGCTACATGGAAAGGAGAAAAAATCCAAAAGGTTTGTGGATTGTACACTAATGATGGTAGAAAACAAGGTTAATGGATAGAACCAATAAAAAATTATTGGAAGTTAATAAATTAATTAATTAATAGTAAATGTAAGGTGTACGAAGTTGGTCAATATGTAGATGATAAGAGAATAGGAACTTGGAAGTAATTCTATTAAGATAAATAGATGTAAAAAAATATTCATTTATATAATTAGAGGAATTGGGGAATATAATTAAAAAGGTCAAAAATTTTTAAAATGGATTGAGTTAAGTGATAATTTTTGGGAGTATTATTAAATTATATACGATGGCCAATATATAAATGATAAGAAGGTTGGTTTATGGGACATTTTATGGAGATAGGATATAAATTCACCATTTAAAATAATGTAAAATATACAATTATGAAAAAAAATAAAGTGGGGGAGGGTTTTATGAAGTAATCAATTAAGAAAGTAGTAAGATTGGGAAATGGATTGAGTTGAGTGATGAATTTTTGGAATTTTCGTAGCCGATTTATTGTGGTGAATACAAAAATGGTAAAAAAGTTGGCAAATGGGATATTTTATGGAGATAATATCAAAATTAACCATTCTAATTGATGTAATATAGTATAAAATAATATAGTGGTGGTGGAACTTATGATTAGAACAAGGAAAATAATATAAAGATTGGGAAATGGATTGAATTGAAGTTTTGGAGGAGTAAATAAATTTTTTATTATGGTGAATATTAAAAAGGTAAAAAGATTGGGAGATGGAATATTTTATTTGAAGGATAAATGATGTATGAATGAAATTTTTAATACAATCTAACTTTAGTGGTGGTGGATTTTATGATGATTAAAATTTTGATGATGTCAAGTAAGGGCCCTGGATTGAGTTAAAAGATAGATTTGGATGGGATTGTTAAATCACTTATAATGGTGAATATTAAAACGGTTAAAAGGTTGGCAGATGGGACACTTTATTTGAAGGATAAATTATGTATGTGTGATATTATATTTAAAACAATCCATTGACAGTGCTGGTGGATACTATAAAAATGAATAACCAGGGGAAAATGTTAAAATTGGTAATTGGAGAGAGCTGAGTGATGGATTTTAAACGGATTCTTAAATCATTTAGTATGGAGAATATAAAAATGGTTAAAAGGTTGGTAGATGGGATATTGAATGGAGAAAGAATTAAAATCAACCATTTTAATTAATGTAAAGATTTAATTAATAAAAACTAAATAATTAAGTGGTGGAGGATCATATGGTAATGACGGCTAGTATGGTGTTGTTAAAATTGAAAAATGGATTGAAATAAGTGATGAGTTTTGTGATAGTTCTTAGATTACATATGTTGGTTCATATTTAAATGGGTTAAAATTTGGTAGATGGGATACATATTGCAAACAAAATGGTGAAAATAAATTGATGTAAGTATAGGATTACAATTAATTAGTGGTGGTGGATCATATGAAAATTATAAAGAATAAGGAACTGTTAAAAATGGAAGGTGGATAGATATATGTGATAATTATTGGACCTATTCTTAAATAACTTATGTTGGTGAATACCAAAATGCCAAGAAAGCTGGTATATGGGGTGAATTCATAAATGGAACTTTTAAAAACGATGAAATAAATTATGAAAATTGAATGGAAGATAAAATAATTATAGTATTCTGTTTATAACTGTGTCTATTATAAGTATTTTTTTATTAAGTTTTAAATCAAAAGTTGTATTTTTTAATTTTAGGATAAACATTTTAGTGGAAGGGATAATAATTTACAGGTTTTGGCTTATCAAGAATTATTTGAGTATTTCAATATTTTTATTTAACTGTTTCATTCATAATTTTACTTGAGCTAGAAAATTATTTAGATTTAAATTATATTTACTATAAATTCTCAAAGTTGATTCTTCTTAATTTCTAACTCTTAATGCTTCAGATTGATATATTTTAATTATTTCATTCTTTAATATAATAATTGCCAATATTGTGGCCAATTAAAACTAGATATACATTTACTTTAACAGTTTTAATAATGACAAATACTATTTTTTTGTTATTCAAATTATAACTAGAAGTTATTGGCACTCTGAATATTTCAATTTAATATAACTTGTTCAATGAAAATTAATCTTAAAAATTTTTGTCATTTTTTTATTAAAACAACCTGTAAAAACTTCTTTTCGATTTATTTTTTTATGACCAATTAAAGTTATTCCTATAATTCTTTCATGATGTATATATTATTTAAAAAATCAAATTTATATTATATTCTATTAGTTGACAACAAATATTATAATATATTTTATACTGAATATTTATATTTAAAATTGTGCATCTATATAAAACTTTAATTGCGCATTATCGTTTTGATTATGTTCTCTAATTTTATTATTTTTCAAAGATCTTAATTATTTGATCTTAAATTTAAAAATTAAGTATCCAAGGAAATGATTGGCTAGTACTGATAGAATTTTTTTTAAGTTCTGATTGAAAATCGGTATTTATGTTGAATTAATAATTATATCAATGTCACACTTTTTTCAACATTTCTATAACTTTCAAAATTAATTTCTTTTATTTGCAGCATCCTATAAGCTGACTAAATTATTTATTCTTTAATATAAGTGATTCTTATGTACTTGAAATTGAAAAAAATAATAAAAATAGAGAATATATGAAATGGGATAAAATTATCATAATCTTATTTCTAAAAATAATAATAATAATTTACCAATTTTAAAAAGTTTTTATTGTCTCTTCAATATATTAATCACTGTTAGGACAATTCTGGAATCACTTAGCTCAATTATGGTAATGTTTAAAATGTAACAAGTAACTTGAATAAAATTGATTATAGATTCGTTTCAATTGTGAATATCGAAAGACTTATATTGCTTAATTAAAATAAATAATAGCTATTCTTTCATTTCTGAATGAAATAATTATTTTATTTTAAATAAGGTAATGCCATATTCCAACTTTAGCATTTGTAAATTTATTTGCAAATTCCTTAGAAGGCAACTCTTCATTTCTTCTCTTAACTTGAAGAAACAGGAAAAAAAACGTATCAACCTTTTTCTTCAAATATTTGATTGCAATTCTAAAGGCATTTGAATTTCTATAAAATTTTAAAATGCTGAATAGAAAAAAATGATTTATGGAAACACTTTCTTTGTTAGAATAATAATATTTATATGATTATTTTTTTTAATTAATTATTTACAATTAATTAATTCTTATAATATGAATCAACGGACTATTTATTTGAAAAATAATAAAATCATAGATTATAATCAAATTTTTAAATTATCGAACATATTTAGCATACATTTTAGTTATATTTATCCTTTCAATCCATCAAAATTAATAATGTTTTCAAATATTAAAAAAAATAGTGCTAATGAGATAAGAGCAAAAACGGATTAGCTTATTGATTCGTTTCTCTAATTAGCTTATCAGATTATAAGCATTTTTTATTTATAAAATTTTATAATTTCTTTTATGATTTTATTCTAAAATATTAATAGAATTTATAATAGGTAAAAGGAATTATAAAATAAATTGAAAGCTATGAAATTATTCTCACTAAATTTCTCATTTCTTAATTATAACAATAATTGTCTAAAAATCGATATCAATTATGCATACTATTCCAATTAAATATTTATTAGAAAAGACCTATTGTAGTCATCAATCCAAATATCTATATTGATTATAATTATAAAAAGGAAAGTTCTATCACAGGTGGAACAGATCAAATAAAAAAACACATATGTAAATTGCAAAAAGTAAATAGATAAATTAAAAAATATTAATAAAGATAATAATTGAGCAAGAAAAATGGGATGCTTAACTATTTGAATACCCAGATATTATTGTAGGGACAATACCTGTCTATCTTAATTTAGTCAAAGATTAAATAGTTATGAATTATTAATAAAATTAGATGTACTGAGAATTTCCTATTCATTAGAAATATACTTTTCCGCAAGAATTTTTAAATTATTTATATTTGTTATGATGACTTAATAATAAGAAAATGTAACATTAAAATAGGAAATATTTTATCTAAAAAATTAATAAATATTCAAAAATTTTAATGTCTGGGTCATAAATGATGAAATAATTGCTGTTGTTTATTAAATCAAAATATAGTTTAAATATAGTTTTGGGATGTAATCAAATATTTATTTTTTAATCAAAATAAAAAATTAGAATTCTTTAGATGGCCTTTCTATAAAAAAATACTTTAGCTTTAGAACTATGAATTAAATCATTCTTATTGATTATATGTGAATTATCTATTTCTGGAGATTATCATTAGATATTTAAATTGAACTTTATGAAATGGATAAATATTCAAAGTATTGATATCAGGGCAAATTAAAAATCACCTTATTTTTTAGATTTTGTCTATGTAACTCAAAATCGATCTATTAGTTTTTTAAAAATTGACATTAGTGAGACAAGTTGTTATTTAAATAAGACTAAACTACAAACTTATAGATATAAAAAAAAATAAGAAAGCCGGTTATTTTAAATTATTTGTTTGATATATTTTGTTTATTCCGTTTCATCCCTATATTATTTTTTTATTGAAGTAAAAAAAATAATCTAAATATCAAATTAAAAGTATGGTTAACTAAACTAAAATTCAAAAATTGAGATTTGTAAGTCACAAGGAATAAATGAATGCCAAAATTTTAAATGAATGGTATTTAAATATTGCAATTATTAATCAATTTTTTAAAAATATATATCAAAAACATTTTTATAATATTTAGTCAATTAAATAAGTATATAATAGAATAGACCATTCAAAAATTTGTAAGATTTGATATTTAGCTTTGAGAAATAGAATAAATAAATATTTTTTCAAAATTTTCTTAATATTGACGAAATAATGTAAAGTGTAAATTAGAATAGGCTAATTTTTTATAATTTTTATAAATTTTAATTTATTTAATAGTATTCTAAATTCAATTCTTAATAATAATAATTATATTTTTCTGATATTTTTAGTTCATAATAGAGAATATTCAATTTATATATTTGCTTTTTGATATTTTTTCATTTAATAATTAATAGAATTTATGCCTTAGACTAAAATCATGTGTACACAAATTTTTATATATGAAATTAAATAGATTAGATTGTTGCATATTGCAATAAATTTACTAATTAACTTTAAAAATAAAAAGTTAAAATTTATAATGCAATTGTAGAATTGTAAAATATTTTTATTTTATTAATCCATTTTTTTGAAGATTGTATTTTAAAAAAGGATTATAAATATAAATATTAATAAAGTTAATTTATTAGATTATATAATAAATTTATAGTAAAATTAAGATGATAAATCACTCTTACATTCATTAGCCTACAATACATGTGAACGATATCGTAGTTTAAAAAGAGGACGAATTAATCTAACATTCTTTGAAGAATTTGCCTAGATTTAAAAAGGTTGAAATAGTTGGAGAAATATTTGCTCTGCTAGTGTTAATTTTATGTTGGGCTTTTTTCCATTAGTCTGTAATTAATTTATAATAATATAAGTTTGTATATTTGAATGAAAAAGTTCCGACTGAATTTGATTATAATGGAAATGCAGTTAGATATGCAGATAAAAATATTCTTTATGCACTACCAGCAGTAATGACTATATCATATATCATCTTAACTATCTTATAATTTGTACCTCATAGATTCAATTATGATTGTGGTAAATATTGATACAAATTAGAGTTGGTTTAACAGTTTATAATGCATAGGAGATTTATAGAACAACAAGAATAACACTTTTAAGTTGTAAATTAATCACAGAATTCTTATTTACTTATATAACATTTACAATGTTATAAGTAGTTTAATATTAGTGTGAGCCTTAAAGAATGTATTATGCGTTTGTGTTCATACTACCTTATTTAGTAATTGGTGTATGCTATTATCGAAAATTAAAATTAGTAAACAATCAACCATAATAATTATGATATATAATAATTAACATAGAGTAATCAATGCATTTCTATTTCTTTATTTAATTTATCTGATTCATCGTTAACTTTCCATTCAGTTAAAATGACAATAATTAATAGCAATCCTCCAACAACAGCTAGAATACCGCAATAAAGAAAGAGGTAATCTCTAACGTATGGTACAACTATTTAATTTAAAGCTCCAAAGAGAGTGCCATATCCCATGATTAATGAGGTTACAGTGGCAGTTGCATGTTTATACTCTAAATTAATTTAATCTATATATATACTTTTTAAAGCTTTATTGTTACTAAGTTCAACGGCAATAGCAGCAGCTACATTATTGTAACATCCTCCAATGAATAAACCGACTCCAAAATTAAGAGCCATGTATCCTCCATATGGATTATCATAATCTTTTAAGAAATTGATAGCCACCATTAATATGGTTCCTAACCATAATAAGGGTACAATTATTGTTGCTCTTTTTTAGTATTTAACTCCTAAATAACTAATAGATAAATGAATTTTATGATACCATACTATTACACCCCCAAATCCAGCACCTAAATCAAGCATAATATTAATTAAAGCAACAAATCCTACATGAAGATAATCTAAATAAGCTGGTAACCATAAACCCACAATCATAGAAGTAGCTTTAATACATCCAAAAGCTAATGCATATACAGCTACTCCTGGTAAAAGCCAAGCTTTCCATATCTTCAATTTCTTTACTCCTACAACTTCTTTACTCACATAAGGTTGTTATGATGTATCCTAAATTACATGTTCAGATGTTATATTTGGTTTTGGCTTGATAAAAATTTGAAATATAATAGTCATAATAAATAACAATCCTCCACTTATATAAATTGGGGTTAAAATGCTTAAATCTAATATTTCTATAGTAATTCCAGAATTAATAAAACCTGCTATATTTCCTACATTAATGCAAGAAGCAAATATACCAAGAATAATCACTTTTTATTCTTTTGGCATCCATGCATTCATTATTGCTTAAAAACAATAAAAATATATATATACATAGTAAGCCTGGCCAAGCAGTTGAAGAAAACATTCCAGCTAATAGTAATAATACTAAATATAATTCTTTTGGAGCTGTTGTAAATTCAAATATTAGGGCTAGGATAATAAATAATGCACTTAATGGATATGTGCCAAGAATTACAAATAATTTTGGATTTATCTTATCACCTAACTATCCAAGCCTCATTAAAAAATAATATACAAAAAGTATGATACACCCATTGATAATAAAAATGTAAAATTGACATATCCCAAAAATTGTGGAGTAAATCCTTCAATCTTATTTTCTTCTATTATCAATCCAGATGCATAACTCCAAGTTGATCTACAACAATGTACCATAACATAGAGAGCATAACTAATTGCAAATTACTTAATTCTCTCTCTATTTATTCCAGGAATTTCATCTAACATTTTATTAACTAAATTAACAAATATTATAATATATAAAAATCATTCATTTAATGCTTCTTCTTTTTTCTTAAATTAAGATTTAGAGTCAAATTAATAAAAGTAGAAAATATTAATTAAATCGAAAGATATATATATATTATTCAATGCTTGTAATTTAATTAAAGTAAACTTAAATATATATATCATTTACAGCACAGTAAACAACATTCTAAGATTTCTCCTAAGTTTTTACACACAGTTTCAGATACTTAACATATTATTTCACAACTAGTCCCTAAACAATCACAAAATAAAGTGCAAATCTAATAAAAACAATCACCCAAATTATGTAATATAAATTCACAACAAACCAATAGAAATCCTCCAAAAGCAGAACAAATTTAAAAACAAAACTAACTGCAAGAATCCCAACATTATAATAATTCTTTACTAAAAACTGTACAGTTTACACAACAACATAATTATGTGCAAATAGAATTTGAGTACCTTTTCAAACTATTATAACATCTAACTTAATATATTTCAATTTATTTTACCACAATTGAAAGATGAAAGTCCACAGCATGTATTACATGATTTATGACAATTTGGACACAAATTTGAACATAATCCTTCCAGACATCCATCCCAAATCAAAATTATTAGTTTCTTAAGCATAATTATAGGACAACTTAAACAATAAACCAATAAATCACAAATCCATTAACAACAATTATCAGATCTATTTAGCAAACCTAGACAACAATAAGCTGATATATTAGAGCCTAAATTAACTATAGTATTATCTGCAGCTTCATTTTAGTTTACTGGTACAACCACAACATTATTTTAATAATATAAATCACTATTTTCCTAATCTAATTTTTTCTTTTTTTTATTCTTTTTTTCGTTCCCTATTTCCTAATTTTATTCTCTTTAATATTAATCAGTCAGCTAAATTGGAGTATTTTATTATTAATTTGGAATCATTGCCTATTGATGAGTCATAATAATCGGCTATTAATTTATGTATTGATTTTAAGCATAGTTTTATTAAATTGGTTCCTAAATTATAGCAATATTTCTATGATATTAATTATCATATTAATGTGAATTATGATTATATTCTGGAACTCCTATATTTTATATAATAATTTTTTCTTTTTTTTATTCTTTAAATTCATTCTCACCTTCTGCTTAATTATTGCCAAAAAACATATCTTTATGATCGGCAAATTGTATGATTTCTATTTCTTACTCTGAAAGTTTACGAACAACTTCATGATTTTACTATTCCATATTATAATCATCTCTATGTTCTATTAAAAACATTGAATTTTCATGTTCTTGTTGATTATTTACAGATTTTTCTATTCTTGGTTGACCTTATGAAGACTAATCATCATTCGAAAACTAAATATTATGATATAATACTTTGACAACACTAATATTCTGATTCTCAATGCTCTCTATGTTATTATCTTGCATTCAAAATTTTTAATTTAATTATCAATTAATTTACATTCATAAGTTTCATAAGTTTCATAATTTATTAATTAAAAGTTAATATAAAATATATCTATCCACTTCCATAATTTAATAAAATAGAATAATAAGATTTAATACATCATAATCTTTATAAAGTTATATNTTACTAAAAACTGTACAGTTTACACAACAACATAATTATGTGCAAATAGAATTTGAGTACCTTTTCAAACTATTATAACATCTAACTTAATATATTTCAATTTATTTTACCACAATTGAAAGATGAAAGTCCACAGCATGTATTACATGATTTATGACAATTTGGACACAAATTTGAACATAATCCTTCCAGACATCCATCCCAAATCAAAATTATTAGTTTCTTAAGCATAATTATAGGACAACTTAAACAATAAACCAATAAATCACAAATCCATTAACAACAATTATCAGATCTATTTAGCAAACCTAGACAACAATAAGCTGATATATTAGAGCCTAAATTAACTATAGTATTATCTGCAGCTTCATTTTAGTTTACTGGTACAACCACAACATTATTTTAATAATATAAATCACTATTTTCCTAATCTAATTTTTTCTTTTTTTTATTCTTTTTTTCGTTCCCTATTTCCTAATTTTATTCTCTTTAATATTAATCAGTCAGCTAAATTGGAGTATTTTATTATTAATTTGGAATCATTGCCTATTGATGAGTCATAATAATCGGCTATTAATTTATGTATTGATTTTAAGCATAGTTTTATTAAATTGGTTCCTAAATTATAGCAATATTTCTATGATATTAATTATCATATTAATGTGAATTATGATTATATTCTGGAACTCCTATATTTTATATAATAATTTTTTCTTTTTTTTATTCTTTAAATTCATTCTCACCTTCTGCTTAATTATTGCCAAAAAACATATCTTTATGATCGGCAAATTGTATGATTTCTATTTCTTACTCTGAAAGTTTACGAACAACTTCATGATTTTACTATTCCATATTATAATCATCTCTATGTTCTATTAAAAACATTGAATTTTCATGTTCTTGTTGATTATTTACAGATTTTTCTATTCTTGGTTGACCTTATGAAGACTAATCATCATTCGAAAACTAAATATTATGATATAATACTTTGACAACACTAATATTCTGATTCTCAATGCTCTCTATGTTATTATCTTGCATTCAAAATTTTTAATTTAATTATCAATTAATTTACATTCATAAGTTTCATAAGTTTCATAATTTATTAATTAAAAGTTAATATAAAATATATCTATCCACTTCCATAATTTAATAAAATAGAATAATAAGATTTAATACATCATAATCTTTATAAAGTTATATTACAAATAGCATTATTTAATAATATGCCAAATCGAATAATAATTAATAAATTTCTTTATATAGTTAATAATTTATAATTAGTTTTTTTTTTATTCTGATAATCTGTTGAGATGTTCATGTGAGGAGACATTGAAAACTTAATTTAAATTTCTTCATTATTGAATTCATTAATAAGTTTATATTTCTAAATTTAAAGATATATTTGATTATGTATAATTTTTAAAAAGCATTATAATTAAAAATGATCACCAAGTGGAAAAAAGTATCTTTTGCGATAAATTTGTGGTATTAAAGTGATTGAAAATCTTGAAATTTCCGTAAAATATTATTTAATGTCAAATTAAGATCTTAATATATTTCCTCATCTAAAAGTAAATGTGCCTTCATTCCTTCTGAAAACATATGAAATTTTAGAGGTATAAGAGACAAAATAATATTTAGAATGATTCATTAAGTGATTTAATATCATGGAACAAAGAAGGAACTTCATTTATTGTATTCAATCAAAGTGAATTGTCTTCTAAAGTGTTAGCAAATTATTTCAAACATAAAAACTATCCTAGCTTCCTTAGGTATTTATAAAGTAATGTAGATAACTCAACATGTATAATTTTAAAAAGACAAGAAATCAATTTGGGTAAAGTGAATTCCGTCACAAATGGTTTAGAAGAGGTTTAAAGTAATATTTTGATTTAATTTTTAGAAGTATGTTGCAGTATATAAAAAGAAGAAATTAAGAAGAGTCAGATCTAAGAATAGAAACTAAAGAAAGCAGTTAAGAACTTGATAATTACAAAAGAGAACATGACAATATAAAATAAATTGTTAAAGACATATAAGAAACCTAATTAACTTTGTAGAAAGATTTGAATTTTCAATTGGAGCGATCCATGTCCTTAACTCGTTAAAATTAGAACACTTTATAAGTTAATTAATATGATTATCTAGGCAATTAATTTAACTTAATAATAATTCAATTAAAAATATGATTACGTGACAATCATGTTAACCAACGCAATCAATAATTTACCAAGTTTGTGTAATCTATAAAAATTAAATTTTAGTATGTAATTTTAGGGAAATTATCAAATATTGTTAAGACGATAATAGAATTGCAATAAATGGAACTTAGAACTTTTAATACAATTAATTACATTATTATCCTTAGAGATCACATTCATGTAAATTTCAATTTAATTTAAGTTTATTATTATGAAAATGATCCAAAACAATATTTATATAAAAAAGGAAATCCCCTAGCTTTAACAGCTTCAACATAGAATAATTATTTATGTAAAATATTTATTATATGATAGCTCCATAACATAACTATTCGCAATAATCTAGCCAATAAAATTCTCCTTATAGAATATAGAATATACAAATGTCTCCATTTTATTTAGATTAAAGAAATGTAGATTAAATAAATTAGATTTAAAATTTATACCAAGGCAGATGATGCCTCTTATTTGTTTTTATAATTCTCTAATTATGAAATGAAATTTAAATTAAATAGTTTAAAAAATGTAATAAAATTTAAATGAATAAAGAGGATAGATAATTAACACTTTTTATAATTAAATTAGAATAATTCATTACATTCCTAAATCGTCATCGTCGTCTTCTTCTACACCTTTTTAAGTAATCCCATATTCATCTTCTCCATCTTCATTTTCAACTTCATCCATAAAATCAGCCTAATGATCTCCAACAACTTTAGGCTATTGAATTAATAGAATTAAATACTTCGATTTTGACTTTCATAATTCCTTAATACTTCTTCATAACATTTTCAATTTCTGTTAAAGCATCCTTCATAATTTTGACACCATCTTTTGAGATAGTGGTGGTTCTACCTGTATAAAGAGGAGAAGCTTTTATTTCAAACTAGTTTAAAATGATTAGAATACTTATAATTTGCATTCTTCAGTGGACTTCTTAGTACCAGCATTAAGTGCTTCTTTTATTATAAGACATCCAGCATAATCATGACTTATTAATTCAAATTCAGTTTTAATAGTAACAGGTTCTGGTTTTAATCTTCTCTCAATTTCATCCATTAATTTAGTTTGAATTTACTCTTGTAGATTGAGCTTTGATAAATTTTTTTAATCTTGTAATGCTTTTTAAAATATTTAAAGGACTGAAACATTTAATTTATTCTCTTATAATGGCCATACAATAGTTTTATATAATTCTTGAATATTCAGATTACATTTCTCAGCGATGGCTCTCATGATTGAATGAATCATTTTTCCATCAGCAAATTTTTGTAATGACATTTACTCTTCATCTTTTGCTACTTTTTTTTTAGATAAATCAATATATCCTTAATCTTCATCTACTCTTAAGACTCTGACAACTTAAATCTTTCCTATTTTTAAGGCTTTCTAAATTCCTCCCTTCAAGGCTCTTGTTGTTTCATTAGGTGGTATCATGCCTCTAATTCTATCATACTCTAGTAATTCAACATATGATGCATTCTCTTGAACTTCTACTACCTCTACAACAACTAAATCATTTTCTTTTGGATATTGATTCTCATAAAATCTACATTTTAGATTTATTCCTTCATCTATTACAGGTTTTATTTCTTGGTTCATTAAATAAATTTTATATATTATTATTTTTCATTTTTAAATCTCCTCATTTTAATTTATCTGATTATTACTTCCTCTCATATTAGGATTGAAATTCAAAATATTTTTACTGTTTACTTCCTTAGTAACTTTAAATGATCTCACTATACTCTTTAATAAATCAATACAAATATTACATTCTCAACCAAATCTAAACCAACTTAATATTCATTTGGTAAATGACGAGGATCATTTATATGACTACCTTAACCAACATACAAGTTCATTTTATTGATTTCTCCATCAAATTCATTCTCAATTGATACAATTAAATCTTTTGTTGCATAATGTTTAACATTATGTTCTTATAATTTTATTATATGTCCATTAATCCATACAAAACAATTAAATTCCTCTCTCAAATATGAATAACTCATATAAATATAATGCCAATCATCTGTTTATTCAAATAATTCTGCTTTTCTCAATTCTTAATCCTTACTATAAGTTCCAAAACTTAAAGAATTACCGCCATAAAAACTCAAAGCATAGTTTTTCTTATCATCCTTTACTCTAAATATTTCAATATTTTCAGCATCCAAATATTCAATCTTGAACCAAGCACTTATTGCAAATTCTTCAATAAAATCTGCCTAATATTCCTTTTTGAATTTCAATGGAAATTGAGTCTCCTCTGCTATCAATTCAATTGATTATTTATTAAATTATGGTTAAGGAGATAACTTTGATACTTCTTCAATAAATAATTATGGCTTATCTGTAACGTATTATTTTCCAATACCATACGACAATTATGCAAATTAACCATTCAATCCTTAAAGTTATAAATCCTCTCCTCCAAATTTAAAATAAGCTTAATTTAATTTAAAATGTTCTACATGAAATTCTATTTTGCTTATATCATCTTAATCTAAATAAATATACCCTGTAGCAACTCCATCTTAATATGAAAAGTGAATATATGTCCATTAATTCTTTTAAAAGAATAATCTTTACTCAACTACTGCATTCATTGTTTTTATATCATATGTAGATAATACTAAACTATTTTTTTAAATTGAAACAACCAATTTATTATCTCCTAAATCATTTCCTGAATAATTTTCATTTTCAGATACACGAGATATAAAATAAGTTTCAGTCTAATAATCTTAAGGATAGAAATCAAGTAATCTAAACCAATAACCGTAGCCAACATCATTAGTCTTACTCTATATTGTCTATTAAAGTATAATTTTATTATGATAAGCTGGTTTCAAAGATCTATTACATTAATCCACTTTCTCGGTTACCAAATTAAGTTTCTCACTTATTACTTTTTTTTCAACTTTAAATAACTAATTTTTCTCACTATCACGTTGATCTAAAATTTTATTTATTCTTTTTATTGTGTTATCACAATACTATAATGTTAACTCCTTTTTATCATTTTATAACTCTTACACAATATCTTTAATCTCTTCATTAACTTTCTCTAAAAATATTTTTGGACTAGTTTTCTTTAAAGTTGATTTACTTAACAGTAGTTCCTTATAGTTTAATAATGACTCTTTAACTTCTAGAATATCTGAGATTTGTTGTATAATATCCATATCCTTTAATTCATTCCAATATACGAGTGAATTTTTCATCTCAAACATCTCATTCAAATTTTCACAGTCAAATTAGCTATAATCCAATATACCTCTTAAATCTTGGGTTTATGAATAGCTTAATGCTATTACTAAACTTAGTAGGAGAATAGTTTTCATAGCAACAAAAAAACGAATATATATATTGAAAATTAAATAAACATTAATTTTATAATAGAGTACATAAGCAAGTATTCAAATTTTTATTATTATTCATTTCCTATTAAGCTTCTCTAATTTCTATTTATTGTCAATGTTAGCTTAATTTAACTACGATATTTATTAATAAAAGTAAATAATATAATATATTTTTATTACTATTTCAAACAATGTCTTAAAATAAAAGTAAATAATCCATGCTAAATGATAGTTATTTTGTTAGGAGACAGTGGAGTAGGCAAAACAACTATCTTAAATAAGTAAGATGATCTAACTAACTTAAAGTTTCCTAGTTATTAATGCATAAACAGAAACAACTATTGGAGTATAGCATCATTCATTCATAAGAAACAACATAAAATTTTCAATATGGGATACTGCAGGATAAGAAAAATATAGATCTATTGTATCAAGGTTCACAAATTTGTTTTATAAGGAGTCATTATAAAAGAGCCAAAGCTGCGATTTTGGTTTATGATTGCTCAAATGAATAATCATTATTGCATATCGATAAATGGATAGAAGAGCTTGTATTCTAAGCAGGAGCTAATGTTAAAATTGCATTAATCGGGGTAAAGAATCTTAATTGAAATTTCGATTAGAATAAAACAGACTTATAAAGTTTTGATATCAATGAGCATGTCCAAAAGCTATCCGAATAATATGAAATTGCATATTAAATTTAAACTAATCATAAAGATCCTGAATTCAAAGATAAAATGAATTAGTTGTTGGACTAAATTAGCATAAGTATAATATAAATTTTATTATTCATATTTGGGACTAATACCTTAAAACTAATTAAACCAATCACCGATATCGAATATTTATTTAGAGGAATAAAGTAAGCAAAATGAGGTCCTTGAATTCAACAACCAAAAAAATTAACTATGTGAAAATCAACAAGGCCAAATTAATGATTTTACAAATAAAGAAAAGGAAAATCAAGAAGTAAAAAGTTGTGAATGTTGAATTAATTCAAAAATATAATAATGAATAAATTTTGTAATTTCTAATATGTCTACATTTCTTTCAAAAATATTTGAATCCAACTCTTCTTAGATTTTCATAGGTACATAAAGAAAAAATATTTACAATAACACTTCTTATTACAGTTACTTTAAATCCTTTGTAGAATGATAAAAGTCCTCCTTCAGAGTATATTTATTTAATGATGTTAATTGTACTTAAATAGCAGTTAAATCTTTGGTTACCTCTCATTTAATACTTGATATCTAGTCTTGATAATATCGATTGGATAAGAAATAATCCAAAAACTAACTGCTGCTGACATACTTGCCATTAAAATTCCAAATTATGAGGCCTATGTTCTATCTCTTCCTTAAGGAGTAAAATATTGTAAGGTTTTTGCATGAGATACAAAATATAATCCACAGCCAATTGAATCTCTCAGTAATTATAATCTGAGTCCTCTAAAATATTTATATTTAGTATTTACTTATAAATATGAAAAAATCCTTAGGTTTTTATTATCTGATACAATTTGTGAATTGGACCATCAGTCAACTCCTGCTTTTTTAATTTAGTTTTTTGAGATAAAATTTTACCATATTCTAATGGACATGCGAATAAATTGCTTGTAATACCCTATTAAATTTAATTATGTAATACTGCCATACTTCCTGCTAAAAAAGTTTGTTAAAATGGTAAATAACTATGCTCACCTAAATTATCCATTCTAGCAAACCATTTCCTCATGTGTTCATATGTAGGAAAATATATAGATCCAGCGCAGAAAGAATTTAAAAGCTATATTGATACGCCTATGCAAATGTATAATATCTACCTCTATACAATGTTTTCAAACCTTCGTCTCTAATAATTTAAATTCCAGTTTTTATCATGCCTTGCTTTCTATGTTATATTTGAATCCTAGTTTTAATAAAATCTAATGGATATCCAATTAATGTATGAACGCAACCTTATTTTATTAAATCAATTGATTACTTGAAAGAGTCCCAGAAACAAAATTAATTATGAAATATTTCATTTATAAATATTTTTAGATTAATATGACTCATAGAATCAAGAAATAGAGTTTTTCTTTTTAATAAAGAGAGTATAAGTTTAAAGTCTTTATTCTAATTAATTTGATGTCATGCGATGTTCCCAATTTATACTGTCAGCTTAAATTGATTGATTTTATAAAAAGCCAGTTCTTAATTATGTATAAAATTATTCTAAAACCTCTTGTTAAGCTTTAATATCTATAGCAATTAGATCAGGAGATTTAAGTTTATTACAAAACTATTTGGCACATTCTTTTAATAAAGCTATATATTCAAAGAATGGAAGAATAAATTCCACTTTCTCTACATCTGGTTATTTAATTTTAAACATTGATTATATATAATTTTTCCTCCAACTAAAATAATTGTCATTCCACCAATGTTCTTATTTCTTCATTAATGTATTTACTGCTAATAATACTTCAATTGAAATCTAAATTCATATTTAAAGTATTTACTTAAATTAGCTAAGCTTGAAAATAATGGAACAATTCAACTGCATATTCATTAAAATCTACTTACAACTCTTAAGCTCCTATTGATACTGAAATAAGTTATTTCAATAAATATATCAATTAAATCGCTGCATCTGTTTCTGGAATAAAATTTCTTATTAAAATAGTTGTTTTTGTGTTTAATATACATTTAACTTCATTAACAGCAATCCAAGTCTTACCTTCATTAACTATTCTATGCTTATTTATATGTTTAGACAGAAATGTTGATAAATCAGGCTGATTTAATTGTTCTAAACTAATCTAATCAAAAAAATGAATTTAATCTTTAAGTTTAGGGAATTAAGTAGATAGATTAAATTAGTTTATTTGATTTACAGAATTCTTATTTTATTTTTATGATTTACAAGTTCCCATTATTCAATTTAATTGTAAAATCAGAGTTTATAATAATACGATTATGATCGAATAGTATCAATTTTAAAGTATATTAAATCATAATATTCTATAAATAGAAATCATTTTTATTGATTATGAGCCCATTTTCGAGCAAATAAGAATGGATCGTTTTGATGCTTGATGTTTTCTTATAATATATCAATCAGGACTTCGAAATCTGAATTTTATTCTTTTTAAATTATTTGACTCATTAAACTAACTAAATACATGCTTAATAATTTCCCCTGATCTTCCATTTAAGTATTAAAAAATATTAAAAATGTGTTATCCATTGTAAAATTCAATATATGTTGAACTTTTTCGTAATAAGAGTTCAACTAATTAATCCATATATTCAATTAATCCTTAAATTATTTTGGAGCAAAAGAATAGAATGCTTTCGCTTTTATAGCCAGCAATTTTCTAAATAGAAAATTACATTTTTATTTTTATTCATTTTAAGTGTTCATATTTTTAATGATATTTTCTAAAAACCAACAAAAATTGTATGTTGGTAAAATAATTGCTGGTAATTATGATGTTAATTAAGGTTATGGCTTTTATTTTTATTATTTTATTCCTTAGGTTGAAAATGAACATTCAGTTGATATTTATCCAATTTATTCAAAATTATCATTTTAAGTTTTTAATATACTATTTGGAATATCTTCCTGAGTTGGAAAATCTGATACAGAATTAACTTTACAATCAGTTTTTGAAAATATTTTCATAGAATCAAACTTTTTTTAATCAAATGTGGCAGCCTTATTATGAGATAGAACTTGCTTTTAGTATTTCTATCTTTAACTTTCTAAGATTGGTTATTTAGGAGTTGAGAGTGGAGAATTAAGGTTTGATTAGACAGATTGATAATTTAGTTTTTATAAAGGAGATTCAAATCTTGGCGAAACTGTATCACCTTGGCTTTAGTCTTATTTTAAAATTTTAACAATTTAATTAATATTAAGTCTGTCTTAAGGATTTATTTAAAGCATTCCAAATAGTAATGTTTTAATGATTGATTAGTATTTGAATTCCTACTTCTAACATTTTTTCAAAATATCTTCATGGAATGTTTTTATGTCTTATCTATATGGAGGGATACATTTGAATAGCATTTCATAAAGCATGATACCTAACGCCCAGATATCACTATAATCAGAATATTAATTGGTTTATGAAATTTCTGGCGCCATATACATAGGTGTACCAACGTTAAATCTTTTAATTATACTTTCGATTTAATCCTCAATTAATGCGAACCCAAAATCAGCTAATTTATAAATACCATCTTTAATAAGGATATTTGCAGGCTTAATATCTCTATGTATGATTTCTAAAAATGAAATAATTTTTTACTTTTTTCATGCAAGGCTAGTATGCCTTTAGAAACCTGGAATAAAATCGATAACACTTTTTCAGTAGTTAATTCTGTTTTTTTCATTTATTATTCCAAACTACCTTCATTACATAATTCACTAACTATATAAGTGTTGTTTGTGCTTTGACTTATTTCATAAACCCGCAACAAATGAGGGTGATCAATTCTGAGCAAAATGGCAATTTCATTTTTTAAGAGAGATTTTTAGATTGGGGATATATATGTTTGGGAACTTATTACCTTTATGGCAACAACTTAATTGGTCTTCATATGTTGCCCTTTATAGACTTTGGATGAGTATCCCGAACCAATTTCTTGGGACATTTCGAAAATGTATTCTCCTATTTACTTTTTTTTTAATTCCTTCTAATTGTTCATATATTCACTTAAAATTGAGGAGTAAGATTTTAAAATAATTTTATTATTCAAAATTAAGAAATAATTTGTAGAAGCTAGTTAAGATAATAAAATATAGTATTAAATCAATTCATTATCTATTAAGAAATCTTTAAAACATAAATAGGATTATGAAAATATTGTAGTTATAGATTTTCAATATGTAAATATTAGTTATATTACAAGCATCATACATTCTAGTAAAATTTAAAAACAGCTAAATTATTATAATGTTTTAATTAAAACAATTAATTTACTTTATTTAATGATTTGGTATGACAAACATTATAATAAAATTCATTAGAATTAAGCTATTCAAACATTGTTTAATTAATTATCTCAATAACTTGAAATATTTGTAATATTTATATTGACGTTTATTAAAAGGCAATCTCGGAATTTAAGAATTTTTTATTTATTTTTAATTAATTATTTATTATGATTTTTGATCATTGAAACTCAAATAAACTCAAAATTAAATACGATTGAGTAATTAAACTTATGATTATAGACATTATATTGAATAATTTTAAGATTATATTTCTATTTTATGGGTGTGTGTAGTAGCAATCCTAGAAGAAAATACACATCAAATAGAAGTAGCCAGAGTACCTATTGCAAAACTCAAGAAGTTTCTATGATAAAATTGAACAAAAGTTTTAGAACGAATTTTAAAGTTGCTCCAAATATCTTTATTTCCTTAAAGAGTGGGAATATACTATCTTATTATAAATTATAGTCAACTTTGGGGGAAGGTATTTCTCAATTTAATACATTTAGGAACCTATGGAAGAGTAAGCTTGGTAATGTAAAAATCAACCTAGATACTTAGGGCTATGAAATAGATTGCCAAAAATAAAATACTTATGAGTCAAAGGAATTAAATGATATAAGAAGTTAACATTTTAAAAAATCTTGATCATCCAAACATTGTTAATATGTATGAACTCTATCAAGATGATTATCATTATTATCTGATAACTGAGTATAAAATTAAAGATAATAAGGTATTTAAGTGGTGGAGAATTAATTCAAAGGATAAAATCAAGAAATAATTTTAATGAAAAGGTTGCTGCAAATTATATGAAATAAATTTTAAGTGCAGTTAATTATTGCCACTAAAGAAATATTGTTCATAGGTACAAATATTGATTTAATGTTCAGAGACCTAAAACCAGAAAATATTTTATTCGATTCAAAAGCTTCTGGAGATTGTCTCAAAATTATAGATTTCGGTGCAGCCAAATAGTTAGAATAAAATTCTTAATTAAAATAAAAAATAGGAACTCCTTATTTCATTGCTCCAGAAGTGATTGATTAGAATTACAATACCAAATGTGATATTTGGTCATGTGGAGTAATTCTATATACTTTAATGTCTGGAAAACCTCCTTTTAATGGAACAAATATAGATGACCTATATAAAAATATTAAACAAGGAAGTGTTGATTTTAATGGTTAATTTCAAATTCTATTTTAGGAAGTGAATGGAAAGATGTTACTGAAGAAGCAAAAAATTTCATCTTAAAAATGTTAGTAGTTGATCCAGCCAAACGAATCTCAGCTGAATAAGGGTTGAAAGATCCATGGATAATTAACAACTAAAGAATTCAAAAAATTAATCCTTAAAATCTTTAAAATCTTGAATCTTTTCACGTAAGAATTTATTTTAAATTTTAAGAATAAAAGTAAACTTGCATCTGCTATTTTACAATTAATTTCAACCTAAATTATGAATTCGAAAGAAAAAAAAGAATTAATAGAAGGATTTAAAGCAATTGATAAAAATAATGATGGTAAATTAAGTAAAGATGAACTAATTTAATGTAAATGTATGACATTAAATTAGGTTACATGAATTTGTATTAAGATGAAATAAAATGTGCCTAAATAGTTGATAAAATATTTTTTTCTGCAGATCTTGATCATTCAGGATCAATTGATTATACTGGTAACTTTTATGTTGATTGAATTAGAATTTATAATTGGGTATACAGAAATGCAAAATTTAATGGCTTAGGAAAAATTAGAAACAGCATTTAAATTATTTGATAAAGATGGAAATGGAATCATTAGCAAATAAGAACTTTAAGAAATACTAGGTGGATTAAATTTACAGGATTAATAATGGGAGAATTTATTCAAAGAATTAGATATAAATGGTGACGGTGAAGTTTCCTTTTAAGAGTTTAAATCATTATTTATTAAAGACTCTCAATAACAATGAAAAATTCTGTAGACAATAAATTTTGAAATTTCAAATTTATTTTTTTTAATCTAAAATCTTACATCAAAATATATTTTTTAAAATAAAATTTAAGTAAGCGTAGTATCAATACCGTCATTTTTAATTAATTATTTAAAGATTTTGAAGTAAACTTAGTTGAATATCGAATTGATAACTATTGATTTATCTTTACAGATTGGGAACAAATAATTTGCCAAGAAATACTAGTTGATGAGAATAATTTTTAGAAATACAATTTTTTTTTTAATTTGAAAAAGCATTGTCTATTATGATTATTTTGAAAGGAGAGTGGAAATTTTTAATTTATGTTTTGATAATTGAAATGTAAGTAATTAATAATCAAAAAGTATAAAATTAACGATGCAAAGCCAATATAATTCATTGAAAATTAATTAATATTTCTTTTATAAANATGTTACTGAAGAAGCAAAAAATTTCATCTTAAAAATGTTAGTAGTTGATCCAGCCAAACGAATCTCAGCTGAATAAGGGTTGAAAGATCCATGGATAATTAACAACTAAAGAATTCAAAAAATTAATCCTTAAAATCTTTAAAATCTTGAATCTTTTCACGTAAGAATTTATTTTAAATTTTAAGAATAAAAGTAAACTTGCATCTGCTATTTTACAATTAATTTCAACCTAAATTATGAATTCGAAAGAAAAAAAAGAATTAATAGAAGGATTTAAAGCAATTGATAAAAATAATGATGGTAAATTAAGTAAAGATGAACTAATTTAATGTAAATGTATGACATTAAATTAGGTTACATGAATTTGTATTAAGATGAAATAAAATGTGCCTAAATAGTTGATAAAATATTTTTTTCTGCAGATCTTGATCATTCAGGATCAATTGATTATACTGGTAACTTTTATGTTGATTGAATTAGAATTTATAATTGGGTATACAGAAATGCAAAATTTAATGGCTTAGGAAAAATTAGAAACAGCATTTAAATTATTTGATAAAGATGGAAATGGAATCATTAGCAAATAAGAACTTTAAGAAATACTAGGTGGATTAAATTTACAGGATTAATAATGGGAGAATTTATTCAAAGAATTAGATATAAATGGTGACGGTGAAGTTTCCTTTTAAGAGTTTAAATCATTATTTATTAAAGACTCTCAATAACAATGAAAAATTCTGTAGACAATAAATTTTGAAATTTCAAATTTATTTTTTTTAATCTAAAATCTTACATCAAAATATATTTTTTAAAATAAAATTTAAGTAAGCGTAGTATCAATACCGTCATTTTTAATTAATTATTTAAAGATTTTGAAGTAAACTTAGTTGAATATCGAATTGATAACTATTGATTTATCTTTACAGATTGGGAACAAATAATTTGCCAAGAAATACTAGTTGATGAGAATAATTTTTAGAAATACAATTTTTTTTTTAATTTGAAAAAGCATTGTCTATTATGATTATTTTGAAAGGAGAGTGGAAATTTTTAATTTATGTTTTGATAATTGAAATGTAAGTAATTAATAATCAAAAAGTATAAAATTAACGATGCAAAGCCAATATAATTCATTGAAAATTAATTAATATTTCTTTTATAAAGACCAAAAAGTCTTATTCATTATACATATGTATTGATTATATAGTTTTAATTTATTAACGAAATAATATATTTTAAAATTTCAAACAGTCAAAAAAGAATGTCTAAATAACCTAAATAAGTATGCCATCAATTTCATTCTTAGAGTCTTTATGAAGCATTTAGTAAACAACTTAAACCTTAAATGAGTACAACTTTATCAAACCTTAAACCAGTTGTAAATGAACGTCCAACTACAGCTAAACCACTCCAAAATTTATCAAATGCTCCAGTTCGAACTTAAGAAGATTAGACTAAAAAAACAGTTGGGAGATCTCCTTAAAGAACAGCATTTGAAAGACCTACTGCTGAAAATAAACAAAATCAATAAGAAATTGATGAAAGACCCATACCAAAAGTACTGTAGAAAGGAAAGTCGCCACAACCAACTTAATAGTTATAAAATTAAAATGAAATGATTAGAATCCAAGATTAACGATAATTTGATGATAGACCATTACCTACAAGCAAGCCATCACTTGATTCATAGTTATCAATAAATCAGAATAGGCAATTCTAAAATGGAAAGTAAGCTAGTACAACATAACCCACATAATCTTAGTAATACTTCAAAGCATAACCGAATATTTAATAAACCGCTAATCAATAATAATAAAATGTAGTTAATAATAAGCAATAACTTCCTGCATAATAGCAATAATAAACTCGATTATCTCTTTAAAATACTCAAACTTCATAGACTTAAAGACCATAAGTTTAATAAAACTAATAACAATAGATTTAGCCTTAGCCTTAACAATCCTAATCTACTAAATCATAAGCATAATTTAAATAGAATTAATTTGAAGATTAAAAACCTTAATAATCTTCTTAAGGATAATCAAGATAATAGAATTAAGAATTTTAATAAAGATAATAATAAAATATAGATTAAACATATTAATAATAAAGATAATAATAATCACAATATTAATAATATTAATAATCTTAATAATAATAATATTAATATCCTTAATAATAGTTAAGAACAACACCATAAGTACAATAATAAGGTTAAATATAAAATTCATAATAATCATCGTATTAATAATATTAATAATCCTAGTAGTAACAAATGTAAAATAAATAGTAGAATGTAAAATAATCAGGAAATAATTAATAATATGATATCCGAGGATAATAACAATAATAAAGTTAATAGTAATAATAACAATAGTATCAATAATAATAATAAGCATAATAATAATTTTAAGAATAACCAATAAAGACAAGATAATAATAATAATAATAACCATAGTTTTAATAATAAACACAATAACCCTAATAGTAGATTCAATAATAATAACAAAAAAGCTAAGTGCCTCCAATGGAATAAGGAGAAGATGATAGATTATTTGAATGTCCAGAAGGGTGTGGTAGATCATTTAATAAGAAAGCATTGGAAAAGCATTCAAAGGTATTAGTAAATATTAATTTGTAGATTTGCTAAAAAGTATTTTAATAAAAGAGAAAGGTATTTGATTCTCAGTAATAAAGATAGTTAGAAGAAGAGGAAGAGGCTTATAGACCTCCTCCTCCCTCATAAAAAAAATAGCAATAATAATAATAATAATAATAAAAGTAGAATAAAAAGCAAACTGAGAGTAAGAGTGATAAACCAAAATGGAAAGCTTAAAGTGAAGCATTTAGGGCAATAATAAAATAAGGAAAAGGAGAGTAATTAACAAAGGAAGAACAAGCATCATTGAAGAATGCTATGGATGCTACTTAAGATTTAGTTTAGTGCAAATTCTGCAATAGAAAATTCAATTCAGAGACTGCTAAAAAGCACATAGCTTTTTGTGAAACAAAAGCAAAATAGGCAGTAACTTAAAAGAAAAAGAAATGAAAAATTATAAATAGAAATTTATGGAATATATATATATTTATACTATTTATTATCAATTGCTCTCACATATGGATAGGTTTGAAATGAGCACTCATGCATGCTTCCTTCAAAGCTTCACTTAAGGTTGGGTGAGCATGGCAAGTTCTAGCAAGATCTTCTGAAGCAGCACCATATTCAATACCAAGAACAGCTTCTGCAATCATTTCTCCAGCATTGGGACCCTAGAGATTAAGAAAAAGAGATTACCACAATATGAACTCCCAATAATTTGTCAGTCTTTTTATCAGTCAAAACTTTAATGAAACCTTCTATATCATCATTAGCTTTAGCTCTAGAATTAGCTAAGAATGGGAAAGATCCTTTAGAATATTAAACTCCAGCCTTTTTAAGTTCTTCTTCTGTTTTTCCAACAGTAGCAACTTCTGGACTAGTATAAATGACTCCTGGAATAGCATCGTAATTAACATGTCCAACTTTTCCAGATAAAATTTCAGCAACTGCAATTCCTTCTTCCTCTGCTTTATGTGCAAGCATAGGTCCTTCAACAACATCACCAATTGCATAAACACCATCAACTCCTGTTGTGAAATTATGTCCAATCTAAATTCTACCTCTATTATCTAATTTCACTCCAATAGACTATTTAATTAATATAAATATATACTTCAGCATTTAACCCTTAAGTATATGGACGTCTCCCTGTACTTACTAAAACATGATCTGCTGTTAATGTTATTTTATCACCTCCTTTAACTGGCTCAATAGTGACTTCAGCACCATTACCTAAATTCTTTCCTCCTAAAACTTTGTGTCCAATCAAAAATTTAATTCCTTATTTAATCAATATTTTTTAGAATGCCTTAGATATTTCTAGATCAATAGCTCCACAAATATTATCTAAATATTCTACAACAGTCACTTCTGTTCCTAATCTTTAATAAACTGAGGCCATTTCAACACCTATTACACCTCCTCCAATTACAATCATTTTTTTAGGAATTTATTGAAGAGACAATGCTCCAGTACTTGAGATGATTATTTTTTCATCAAACTCTAATCCTGGGAAAGGAGTGGGTTCACTACCTGTTGCTATAAGTGTATTCTTTGTAGTTATAGTCTCTTTTTTTCCATCGTTTAAATCAATTGCAATTTCATTTTTAGATGCAAATTTACCCCATCCCTTATAATAGGATACTTTGTTTTTAGCAAAAAGTCCTTCAATTCCTTTTGTAAGGGATCCAACTATATCACCTTTTTTCTTTTATACTTATGCCCAATCAACTCCTAGATTATCAACCTTAATTCCTAATCCTTTAAAGTTTTTATGAGCATCTTCGTATTTATGACTTATGTTTAAAAGGGCTTTAGATGGAATACAGCCTACATTTAAACAAGTACCTCCTAGAGTACCTCTCTTTTCAACACAAGCTGTCTTCAAACCTAATTAAGCTGCTTTTATAGCTGCTACATATCCTCCTGGACCCCCTCCTATTACTACCAAATCAAATGGTTGACTTGAAAATGATGATCTTGAGAAATGAGTGAATTAGTTGGTTATTAAATATCTTGTCTTAAACATAATTTATTTATCTTTAGTTTTTTAATACAAATTAAATTAAATGACGCTAAATAAGATTAATAAAATAATTAATAATTCACAATGACTTCATTTGAGATGCAAGAATAATACCCAATATAGGATTCTCTTTCAATGTCCATCGAGTAAAGATCAAGAAGTCGTACTCTAAATAAAACTGCGAAATGGAAACTTGAATAATTTCATGAAAAAAATGTGATGCAAGAAGAATAAGACAAAATACAACGAGTCTTTAAAATATACAATGATAATCTTATTGATGAACATAACCAAAATGATAACCATTTTTTTGAAGAATATTTATCATGGCTCCCAGTAATTCATCCAAAACGAGTTTGGCCTTGGAAGATATTTGTAGCTATTACTACTCTCTTTGTCTTTTTTGAATTACCTATCTATGTTATGTATGGCTCAGAATTTTGGAAAGTATCCATTTCTAAATTATCTTAGAAAATTATAGGAAGATATGCATTATTTTATGGAATTTTTATCATACTTTTAACAGCTTCATACTATAAGCTATTATTATTATTCCAAATAATATTATTTTAGGTTTCCAAAGAACTAGTACAGTAAATGCTAGAGAATATTCTTAAGTTTATGCAATTACTAGAGCTGATTTTTTGGAAACATTAAAAAAAATTCCCTGAAGATTTTGAAATTGATTGTTAAATAGAGATAAATTATTATTCACTAAAGAATACAATTTAGTAGAATAGCAATGTTATACATGTAATTCAACTGATCATTATGCTGATATATGATATATGTCCAAAAACACATTCCTTACCATTAGTTTAAGAATTGATTGAAGAATCAACTGTTTTGGATTTGAAATAGGATAGGATTAAAATTTAGAGATTTGATAGAAAGTAATGGGCTAAGAGAGCAAATGCAAAACTCTAATTAAAGGTTTAAACAATAATAAATTGAAGAAAAAAGCCAATCTTATGCTTAAAATTTAAAGAGCTTTAAAGAAAAATACAATTAAAATTGATAAGCCATAAATACCTTAATGATAGCTAAAAGAATTCAAGAGTATTGATGATGAATAATCAGTCAATCCTATGATCGATGAAATGATAGAGAGTTATAATTCAAATTTAATTTACCTTTTATAAAACTTAAATGTATAAACCCCTGATAATGAAATTCCTTAAAGAGAATAATCAACTTAAAATATAAAGAGTTTTGCAATTTAAACTTTAACTTAATCTTCTATGCAGCAAAGTTCAAAAGTTGTTGAAAATACTAATGAACCTCAAAAAAGAGATAATATGATGGCTGAGTACTAAAAGATTATACAACCAATTATTAAAACAGGAGTAGAATAATTTGATGCTCCTGCTAATTATAAGAATTATTATCGAAAATATAATAGCAATAATCATTAAGAGTTTAAAAATGTTAAAATTATTTAAAAAGATAAAATATAGAATATGAGACAGTCTATTATGTTTAGATGACTAAAATTATATTTAAATATGAATGGATAGAATTTATATACACTACTCAATCTTTAGAAATATCTTCTTTTAGTAAAACAAGTGATTCTATTCTAAATTGGAGATTTTATTAAAATTGAAACTAAGAATTGTCTTTATATACCAAAACATCTTTGGTAATTGGGGGCATATAAATTTAACTGAATTATTATTCATTAAACTATTTATAATATCAGAGTCTTTTTATCTATTTCTTATAAAAAAGTTCAAAAAATACGCTTGCTCCAAAACCTCCTCCTAATGGGCCTCCAACATANCAGCTTCATACTATAAGCTATTATTATTATTCCAAATAATATTATTTTAGGTTTCCAAAGAACTAGTACAGTAAATGCTAGAGAATATTCTTAAGTTTATGCAATTACTAGAGCTGATTTTTTGGAAACATTAAAAAAAATTCCCTGAAGATTTTGAAATTGATTGTTAAATAGAGATAAATTATTATTCACTAAAGAATACAATTTAGTAGAATAGCAATGTTATACATGTAATTCAACTGATCATTATGCTGATATATGATATATGTCCAAAAACACATTCCTTACCATTAGTTTAAGAATTGATTGAAGAATCAACTGTTTTGGATTTGAAATAGGATAGGATTAAAATTTAGAGATTTGATAGAAAGTAATGGGCTAAGAGAGCAAATGCAAAACTCTAATTAAAGGTTTAAACAATAATAAATTGAAGAAAAAAGCCAATCTTATGCTTAAAATTTAAAGAGCTTTAAAGAAAAATACAATTAAAATTGATAAGCCATAAATACCTTAATGATAGCTAAAAGAATTCAAGAGTATTGATGATGAATAATCAGTCAATCCTATGATCGATGAAATGATAGAGAGTTATAATTCAAATTTAATTTACCTTTTATAAAACTTAAATGTATAAACCCCTGATAATGAAATTCCTTAAAGAGAATAATCAACTTAAAATATAAAGAGTTTTGCAATTTAAACTTTAACTTAATCTTCTATGCAGCAAAGTTCAAAAGTTGTTGAAAATACTAATGAACCTCAAAAAAGAGATAATATGATGGCTGAGTACTAAAAGATTATACAACCAATTATTAAAACAGGAGTAGAATAATTTGATGCTCCTGCTAATTATAAGAATTATTATCGAAAATATAATAGCAATAATCATTAAGAGTTTAAAAATGTTAAAATTATTTAAAAAGATAAAATATAGAATATGAGACAGTCTATTATGTTTAGATGACTAAAATTATATTTAAATATGAATGGATAGAATTTATATACACTACTCAATCTTTAGAAATATCTTCTTTTAGTAAAACAAGTGATTCTATTCTAAATTGGAGATTTTATTAAAATTGAAACTAAGAATTGTCTTTATATACCAAAACATCTTTGGTAATTGGGGGCATATAAATTTAACTGAATTATTATTCATTAAACTATTTATAATATCAGAGTCTTTTTATCTATTTCTTATAAAAAAGTTCAAAAAATACGCTTGCTCCAAAACCTCCTCCTAATGGGCCTCCAACATAAACCCACAAAAAGTCCATTCTTTATCTATCTCCTGTCTAAAAAGATTAGAATAATTGTAAGGAAACTGCCATACCTGGATTTAAACATCCTCACAATAAATAAAATTTAATACCTCCCGAATGGAATGTAAACTCTCTTGAAAAATACAAAGCTAAAGCAACTAAAACATATGTTGTCATAGGTTGACCTCCTGGAGTTAAAGTAGTTTCTTTATCTGTTTGAATAAGTATGAATAAAATGAAAGTAAATGTTCCAAAGGCTTCTCCACTTACATCTGATAAAATCCAAGAGTATTCAGTACTTTTTACTTATGGGCTATCTACTTCATTCAAAATTAAATAACAGCAACATGCTCCACATAATGCTCCAGAAAATTAAGCCAACCAATATATCACTGCTTAAGCAAAGTTTATTCTTCTTGACAAAAGCATAGCTAATGTAACAGCAGGATTTACATGTGCTCCTGAAAATGGAGCAGCCAAACATACTGATGCAAAGAAAAATAAAGCTAAAAATTCATCTGATCCTTATGAACATATAATTCTAAATTTTATTTATTTTTATTTACCCATAGGCAAATAAAGCCATTCCTAAAAATTCAAATAAAAATATTCTCATTTCATCCCTCGATTTACCTGCTGTTGGTATATATCCTTTTGTTTTTGGTTGACTTATAATATCATTTTCCTCCATTTTAATTTATTAAATTTATTTATATATTTATTATTTTTCATATTGATATTATCCATTCATCAAAAATCATTTCTAGTTTTATTACCATAAAATTTAAATAAAGTTACCCATTCAAATCTTATTAATCTATTAGGTTAGGTCCTCAATTCATATACTTTTTTGATTTTTAATTAGTGCACATCTTAATGATTATATTAATTAAACTAAACGAATCATTATCATAGAATACAATAATTAATTTTATGATTTTAATTCTAATAATTTATTTAGGATTAGGGTTTTCTAAAGAATTAGGAGCTTTATTAGAGACTGTTAAAAATAATGATTATAGCATGTCTATCCTAAAATAAATGAAATAGTATTTGAATGAAAAAAAATGTAATACTTAAAATTAGAATAAGCCCCTTATGAAATTCTTGTTTACATAAATGAAGAGGAAGATAAATTAGTTTCTGAAATAATTGATGATATGAATAACTATCAATAAGAATAATTATTAAGTAGTTGATTCTTTTTACAAAGGTTCATAAAAAAAATAAGAATTAAAATATTAAATGATGTTGACTAAGTTTACTTCAGCATTGTAAGCAGATGAATTATTATTGCTATCAAATGAAGCTAAATTATCAGAAGATATCAGAATGTAAAGAGTAGATTTGCTTCTTGAATTAGGGTAAGTAATTCCACAATTAGAATAATTACTAAAAGAGGAAGTATGAAGCATTTTATAAACATTAAGTTAAGTGTTTTTGATTTAGAAAACAGTGAACTTGCATTGTTTATTGATAGTTTTAATGAGTTTATTCCTTCTAGTCCTTAAAAATTGAATGGATAGAAGTAACATTTGAAAGAGAATCCTGAAGCAATTCTTAAAGAATTTATATCTACCAATACTGAAGATTCTTCTTTTAATTTGCTGATTAGTAATTATCACTTAATTTACAAGGTTAAATTTAATAAAATTAGGCAAATGGAAATATTCATGATGCTGTGTCAAAAAGTAAAGATTTAGTTAATGAAATTCAAAAATCACAGCAATAAGTATTAAAATCTAAAAAAGATTTAATTGAAAATGTCAAACAAAGCCTTACTCAAGATAATGAATAATGGAAATTAGATGTTATAACTTTTATTATATAAAATAGATCGCTTCAATAGAACCTATTGCAAAAATTACTAAGGAAAAACTAAACTAACTTTAAAAACAAAAAGACGATTTATAAGTTATGTTAAAACATCAATAAACCGAATTTAATGAATTATAAGAGAACATAGATAATTTTTATGTAAATTTTATACATAAAACCTAAGACATCTTATTCATCAAAAAGGTTGTAAGACATGAATAATTTAAACATAATAAGAATGATCAAGTAGTTCTATTCTGAGCACTTAGATGTTCTTGAAGATTTTATGAAATCGAAAATGTAATGAACTAAAATTTATATATATTTTTGAGTAAACTAATTTTAATTTCTTCATATTTTTTTATTTAAATATAATAATCACAATTCTTCGATACGATTAATCTCATAGAAATTTGTTCATTTTAAGTATTCTCAATATATGGTTTTGAGGGTGAGATAAAAATGTAGAAGTTAGTTAAAATTTTTTTTAATCATAACTCTAATTATTAAAGCATCATATAAATACCAAAATATAATAGTTAGAATCGGTTTATTAAATATTTCTTAATCTAAAATCTATTTTAATTTATCTGACCTTTTGTAATTATATATGAATCTTTGGATATTGATTGTTCAATATGTACTTTTCTTTCAATTTTATGATCTTTCTCTATTTCAGTCCTTGTGTTAATTGTTATTACAATAAACTATAATCCTGATATTTCATACAGCAGATTCTTATGATTCAAATAAATGCTATTTAATGATGAATTTTTTCTAAAAACCAACATAACTAGAATTTTCAACTGAAAGTCCTTTTTTGTCATTTCAAAAACTTAAGATTTAAATTTTGAAGGATTTATTTGTTATAAAAGATATTTCAATATATTGAGAATTCCCATTTTATTAGAAATAAAGATTCTTATTTTCTTCAGAAGAATATTTCAATTAATAAGAACAAAAGTTTCTAATTTAACTCTTAATCATCTAAATTGATCATGAAGGTTTAAATAATAATTTCTTCTGTCTTAAAAGGGTCAATTGAAGACCATGCTTCTAATAAGCCGACTTAACATTAATAGAATTTCTAAGCTAGCTAAAATTATCACTTTATCTTAATTAATTTATACCCGAATAATTTTGAGCAACAGTTAATAAGTCAATCATAAGTAAATGTAAAGAAAATATATATTGATCTCAAAATGGTTATCAGATTTGAAATCAATTCACCTAATATACTAGAATGATTGTAATTAAAATCTTCTGAAATGGTTGCCGAATAAATCACACTAAAGAAGCTAATTTTCTTTACTCTTAAAAGTTTGTACATTCTTAAATTGTAGTTTTTTCAATTTATGATACTATAAAAATTCTGAATTAATAAATAAGAATATTTTGTATGTTCTTAAAAAATGTCTTAAAGAAAAACTAAACCTTAATCAATTTTTTAATATAATTATTAATTTATAAGTTTATAAGTTTATAAGTTAATCAAATTATGTTCAAAAAATTTAAATAGCATAATAAGTATTCATCTAAAATTAAATTGATTTATAGATGGTAATAGATTTGTATAGAGATATTTTTGTTAATTTATTAGAATACTATATTTTGTTTCAAATTTTTATTTCTCATTTATTGTCAAACGTATTTTAACAAATTTAAAAGTTGTAATATGAGATAGTATAATAAAGAATTTAATAATAAATTAAATGGATAATAGGTAAGGTATTGAATTGGAGGATGAGTTTTATGCCTTATAAAGTCCTTAGCACATATTTTAGAAGATCGATTGCTTTGTCACTTTAGGATAATATGACTTGGATGAGGATGAAAACGAAAATTTTCCCTAACACATATAGATTGAACAGCCAGAAATCAAAAACTTGCGGCTACATAAATTTTTTAATGCTGAGCCTGAAGTCAATTAATTTGTTCAAAAGTAATAAGAAGTCTAACATGAACCTAAAATGAGACCTCAACGTAAGATGTCTCATAGTTTACCATCATTTATGGAAGAGATAGACACTTTAATTTCTTAGACCATTGAAAGATAAAATGTATTCTTAGAATAATAAAAATATAATGTAAACAATTTTGGTTATTTAAATTTAGGATGCCTTAAATAATATTGATAATTTTACGTTTTTAGAGCAATCTCTTACTCAACCCTAAGTGTTCAAATCTTTCTATTCACAATATATAAGAACAATTAATAAGTTAAGAATGTATAGATAATAAAAAAGGTACAAATTTACTTAATTTTAGATTGGATGTTAAATAATTTATGGCATTTGTTTGTTCTTTGGGAATAGATTTCATTCATGAGATATTTAATCTAATCCATAAAGCAGATAGCTCTTGGTGTTTTGAGCTATTGAAACAAGAAGGTTTAACCTAATAGATGCAAAATGAAAATTAATAACCATTTTTTTCAGATTTTAAATTATAGAAAACTTAATTTTAATAACCTTATTAATAATAATAATAATAATAATAATAATTATAATAATAATAATAATAATAATAATAATAATAACAATAATAACAATAATAACAATAGATTGATAATAATAATGAATAGTATTAATAATAAAAAATATCGTAGATATAATAGTAATAAAATAGTAATAATGGGAATTCATAAAAATAATAATAAAGTGCTTTAAGTATTGTAAATGAAGCAATAGAAAAGAAAGGAAGAAAGACTTGGTCAAATAAGGAAATGGAAACCCTGCATAATTTTATAAATACTTACTAAAATAGTTCAATTACGAATTAATAAATCTAAGACTTATCTAAATAGTTGGGAAGAACTTGGTATTCAGTTTAATCGAAAATACAAAAGCTAAAGAAGAATGTATAAGATTAAATGAGCGATGTAAGAAGTTAGAGTATGAAAGATGATCCATCAAAAGATTAATTAAAAATGTAAAGGATCAGTACTAAATACGATTATACAGTAGAGGATATGATTAAAATAACTTTGTAATAATTGGATGGAAAATGTGGTACAAAATAGAAGATCATTGAATCAATCAATCAAAATTTTTTTAATGGGTAATTATCTGAAGATTCAGCTTGTTTAAGATCAATTTCAATTACCCTATCTAATAATCGGAGTTAATTTATCAAAAAAATAAAGGGCAATTTTGGTTTAAATGAACATTATTAAGATAAAGGAGAGGATGACAATAAAATGAGAAATAAACTAGTATGGATTTTATAAAATCTACCAGAATAAAGAGGAACTTTATAATAAATAGTTGCTACTTATACTGAAAATGCATATTTAGATGAAATCAATCTTAAGAAATTATAAAAATAGATTAGCTAAACACTCAGACTCAGCAATCGTTTTGACAAAAGAAATGCTAAAACAATATACAAAATACAAGAATGAATTAATTAAATTTGTTTGTGAATATAACCTAGTTCAAGAAATTTGAGAAATTTTACATATTTATTATAAATCATTGAGACTTCATTCTAAAATTTCATTTTGTCTTCTATCATATAGAATTTAGAAAATTCATAAGAAATTACAATTAAGATATGCAAAAAATTTATAAAATCAAAAATTCATTCTTCTTTTAATGTTTCTAAATGCTTTAAAGTTTTATCTTAGTTAAAAAAACAAGTTATAGTTAAGATAATAATAGATAAGACACACATAAGACCAAAAGGTAAATATGGATCAATAAAAAATAGTGGGAACAAAAAATAAGGTGATGGTATTGCCCCAATTTTACCTATTGCCTAAACCAAGCCACATCCTTAAGTTCTTAAATATAAAGGATAGGTTTCACAAGAAAGTAACCCTATGGTTGAAAAAAGTCCTCTAGTAGCAATTTTAATTATAAACAATCCTACAAATAAAAATGAATTCCTAAAAATATATAATAAGCCGTTTGCAATTATGAGTGCAAAAGCTGAAAAAGCCATAATTTTAATTCTGCCTCCATAATAAGGATTGTCAATAATGTAATAGAGGATTAATGCAAAGAAAAATTCTATTATAAACATATTTAACATTGGTGTGAATCCTGATTTATTTTCTGCAAATAAGAAGGGCATCAATAAATAAATGCTCATGTTTTATAAATTGGTGAGAATGCATATTAACCAAAATAATAAGGTTTCCTTTCTATATTCATTTGATAACACTCCATATATGTGTAATTCTTGTTCTTTTTGTTCTTACAATTATTTTTGAGACCATTCTTATAAACCATTTTTCTAAAATAATAAAAACTATTTCTTACATCTTCATCTGATAACTAAGCATTTTATATACCATTCTCTTAAATAATTATTTCGATCTCTTCAAAAGCCTTTTGATACTCCTCTTTATTTAAATAGTATCTAATAGTTTCCTTAATAAAAAATAATGACAAGATAAAAGCTACAGTAATAGGTATTCCATTAAATCTAATGAGACCTCTCCAATTGCCTGATGTATAACTATCTAAAAAGAAGAAACAGAGAAAAACAAAATAAATTTTTCCAAATATATATAGTAAGGATAGTCCAAATGAAAATCTACCTCTGTTTTTAGCTTCAGTTACTTCAGATATAAATATAAATCCCAAAGGACATGTGGTTCCAAAAACTAAACCAAAACTTAGTCTCAGCACTATCATTTCTCCATAAGACTGACTAAAACTTGTATAAAAGACCAAAAACGAACTCAGACCTGTAAATATCGTAAATGTAACTTTTCGGCCTATTATATCAGTTGAGAATGCGCATAATAAATTTCCTAAAACAATTCCCAAAAGAAAAGAGGATCCTAAAGATGCAACTTCCGCTTAGTTCAAATTCCATTCATTTTTGAGAATAGCAATTAAAATAGACATAAATGTATATTCGATACCATCGCAAAATTCAACCAAACCGATTATACAGAGAGTTTTAAATTGATACAATCCAGTTCCAATTTTAGTTTCAAGAATTTGGTCAAACGATATCATTAATTTTAATGATTAATATAAAATGAATTATCATAATCCATAAGGATTGTTAGGTACATAAGGAGGAGGCTATTTTTATTATTAATATAAATTTGGTTAGGGTTGCATGCCAGCTTGATTATTGTCTTCTTAAGGCGGATATTAGAATTAAGGTAACTATTGATTCATTTACTATTATTGAGCATCAGTAATATGCTATCCTAAAAAATTAGTATTTGCTAAGCCTTAAACAAATTTGGATTAGAATGCAGCTGATTAAGGAGGGTAACCTTATTATTATTGCTAAAAATTAGGAGGTTAAAAATTTTATTATTATTGGGACTATTATTAAGGATAAACTGATGGTTATTAAGAAGGGAATTAATTAAATTATTAAGGTTGTGGAGAGTATCCTTATTGTTATTAAACATATGGGGGAGGCTATTAATATTATGATGGTGGAGTTATGTTTTAAAATTATTATTAAGGTACTGATTATGATTATAATGGCTAAGTAGGTTACATGATCTATTATTACTGTTGAATTCCATACTATTATGAATATTGATCGATATCAAATTATCCTAAGTTAATGACTAAATTATAATTATTTTAATATTTTATACAATTTTTGGGTCCTGGTTTTTTACCAACCAAAAGCATATAATCTACTAATTAATCTGGTAATTCTTATAAAACATTTTTGGCCAATAATTCTGGATTACTTTTAAATTGATTAAAAGGAACAAATTAAACTAAATCTCTTTGAGTTCTTCTACCAAAAGAATCATGGAGATTACCATCATCATCATCTAAAATAGACATATTATTGAAATCTGCATCTCCAACTCCAACAATAATAATTGATAATGGTAAATGTGATGATGCTACAATAGAATCAATAGTTTCCTATAATATATAAGATATTAATACTTTCATATCATGAATTTCTCCATCAGTTAAAATAAATAATACAAAATATGTGCTGCTAGCCATATCTTTACATGATTAGGCAATTTTCATTGACTCTTAAATAATGGGATTAAAATAGGTTGGACCATCAAATTTTACATTCCTCACTGCATAATTATACGCTTGCATAATCCCATCCAACTAGTATACTTCTGGATCTTAAGGATTACCATTTAATGGAAAACAATGTAGTGTTTATGTACAATTCAAATTATGCAATCTTGGTTTACATCCAAAACCAAATATTGGAACCTTTTTATCATGATCATAATTCAATAATATTTCTCCTACAGCCAATAATGCTTATTGATATTAATTTAGTCTATGATATGAGTCATCAATATAATGTAGAGAACTTGGATTCTTTGGTGATTAATTCGAGGCTGTGAAATCAATTGCAGCAACCAAATTTATTTATGTTCCACTTTACAAATAATCCATGAAACTTGGTTTTTCAATTAGTTTGAACTATAATTGATTTATTATTAATAGAAATTACTTCATTAAATATTAGGAATCCAGATTGTTTTTTATTTTAATCAAATAAAATTTTTTTGGCTTACTATTACCCATTAAGTTCATTTACTGAAAATTCAGTAGAGCAAACATGTTCATGAGTACCTGAACTTCTGTAATCCCAAATTTCTACTCTTATAGGCATATGATAATCCCCATTGCATAATTTCTAAGATTGAATATCCAATCTCTTCCATTAAGGTTTTAAACTGCTTTTGATAGGTTCACTTTCATAGACTAAAAGTTATTAATTTGTATCCTTTCTAGTTCTATAAAGTCTGAAAAAGGGCGAAGTTGAATGCCAAGGTAAAAACCTTGTATTAGGAATATTATTTGCACCTATTGTAATTATAATAAGAATGTACTTAATTACATGATTATTTTATCATTTATCATTCTTACCTAATCAGCTCTTATAACTAAAATACCAGTTTTCTTTTATCCATTAGTTAAATTTAGCATAACTAACTAATCCCTTGCTCCAGCTATATTGGCTAAAGTAGTTTCAGCACTTCCAATAAACTAAACTCTTAAATAGTTAATCTACATCAAATTTTCCATTTCCATCATCATCATTACATACAAACTTTAATGGTTATTAGCATTCAAAGTAATATTCAATGATAAATGTTTTTGCAAAGTTTGGATTTAAATTATCTTGAATAATTTCTGTTCTTCCCATTTCAGACCATTAATTATTTCTTTTCACATAAATTATTACAAAGGGATCACTTTTTGAAAATGTATCCATATTAGCTAATCCACGACAACTTATAAACAATTCTAATTTTTATTAAGATTCCATGATGCTTGCACTTCTTCCATATAAGTCATTCATTTTTAAATATTATTAATTATTACAAAACACAAAAACAAGCTTATTAAATTTATCAAAATATCACAACAAAAAGCTAAATCAAAGAGATTATTATTAATTTTATATTTTATGTTAAAAAAGTACTCTTCAATAGCCTAGATGCAATAAGAAAGTTCCAGATCTGATAGGTAGTATCCAGTTTTGAATAAGATTTCTGTTTGCATATCGTAACAATGTCTATGATCTAACACATTTTGTAGATGATCACCCTGGAGGAAGATTCTCTCTCTAAACCTTTAAGGGTAAGGATTTAGAAAATGTATACCCATTCATTTTTAATTCAGATTCTATTTAATGCTTCCATTCACAGGCACTAACCATCAATCCTCTCTACACTAGAACAATATAAATGTGGTATAATAGAAGCCAAAATCCCTCAAGATAGTAAATCTAAGTCTCAAGCTGCTACTACATCCAAACCCAATACAACCTAAAAGAATGAAAAAACTTGCAAAACCTAATTGACTGATGATAAGACCAATAGATCTAATATCACATCAAAATCTAAAGACAGTATTTAATAACACAGTAATTTGCTTTCTATTGAATCTAATTAAGTAAAGAAATCAAACTTAAAATAAACTTCAAAAACAAAACCTATTACTTAGGCTGAAAGCATTATCGCAGAATCAACCAAAACTATTAAATCTAAATCTGATTTAAATATTTTAAATCAATAAAGGCTTTAATAAACATCACAAATTCAAGGCTCTTCAAGTTTAATTTCTATTGTTTCTAATACAAAAAATTCACATTTATCCCCTCAGATTATATAAGAAGAAGATGAATCTTAGCCATCTCCACTAAATAATGCACAAAAATCTGAGTATGAACTTATTCCAGAAGATAATTTAAATTTAAAAGTGCCCATACTAAATTATTCACTCACTGGCTATCTTAAACTTAAATTAACCCTCAAAAATTGAAATATTTTAATTATGTAAGATGTTCTTCTGCTTTATTATTTCATTCATTAAATTAAATAGTTATTATTTGAACACTCTTAAATTCTTTTCTAATTATCCAATTTTATTAAAACATGAAATAAGGAAAAATCAATTCAGTTATTTTATATAGTTAATTATTAAAGTATTGTATATTTTAATATAATGAAAAAATGAATTGACAAAACAATCAGTCTCATTAAAATAAGTGAAATAAAATTGCATCGCATTGGAGTAAATCTTATACGATAGGTTTAAATTGTTAACAATGAACTTTTTGTTACAAAATTTATCGAAAAATCTGAACAAACTCTAAATTAATAATTCAAAATAATACATGTATCTGATTTCGAATTTTTTAGATCTATAATTTGTTATTCTCTAATAATATTGAAATGAGTAGAATTTTGAATAGAGTTAATCTATTAATTAATTTAAGACTGAGTATTAGCATTCATTTTGAATTAAGTCGAAAGAATCTTCAATAATGCCCAACGAATACACACATCATCAACCTAAGTCTCAAAATTTTGTAAATTTTATGCTAGATTACTTAAAAAGTTGAATTATGAGTAAGAAATATTTTAAGTATTTGAATCAGTTGAAATCATTGATAACAATTTTTCTACAGTAAATCTAGTATTAGGATTTGGATCAAGCATGCCTTTAAGTAAAGGAATGAATATTGATTATTGAATTCTTAAGATAGGATTATTGACATAATGTTGCATAATCTTTTTTAATTGTGATTCTTTTTCATGATAGAAGGGAACATTTCCATAAATGAGCTCATACATGGTAATTCCAACAGACCAGACATCAGACTAAAAGCTGTACATATCATTGAGTAATGATTCGGGTGCCATATAAAGCGGGGTTCCAAATGAGGATTTTTATAACTCCAAAGAATTCATATTAGCACTAAAACCAAAATCAGCAAGTTTAGGTAGACAATTATGCATCATAATATTTGGAGGTTTGATGTCTCTATGAATGATATCTATTGATTTTAAATAAAAATTACTCTTGTTTTTAAGTTCTTTCAATGCCTACAGTAATTGATGGAAAATCCTTAACAATTGTTAATCGGATCGATTCTTAGAAAATCGTAATTCTCCTTCATTGCAGTATTCAGTTATGATATACTGATTGTTAGGAGTGTAAATGTAATTGATATATTACAAGATGTAAGGAGAATTGAGCTTCTTTAAGGATTCGATTTCATTGCTCAACATCTGTCTTGAGAAATTAGAATTCAATTTTGAATTCTCGATAACCTAATCATATAATAATAAGCTTGGCTACCTTTATTGCTACTTCTTGTCCAGATCTTCTGTCTAGGCCTTTAAATACAGAACTGTACTCTCCTGAGCCTAGACAGTCCTCTAAATAATATTCAAAATCATTTATTATCTTTTTAGGCGAGGATTTATTCTATGACGACATAATTTTTGCTGATAACATGATTTCTAACATTAAAGTTTTAAATTATTTATTTATTATTTAGGTCTTCATTTTTATAAAAAATGAGTAACCTGACGGATCTTCAATTCTAAGAAAAGATAATCTAAATCAAGTTCCTACACGCAATTTCACTCATATCTATTCAGATTTATTGTTATCAATCTTTTAAACTGTCATTGGATAAGTACTTCTAGATGTGGATTTTGAGATTGGTTTACATTCTTAGTATAGCATAATGACCCATGTTTTGTTGCCTCTTTAGGATTTGTTAATATTATTGTAATTGTGTTCTTGATTCTTACGGTTTTTTGTAATCCTTCATCTAATTCTCATAGGAGCCAATGAATTCCTTATTTAACATTCAGCTCAAGAATTAAGAGCAAACAAACTAAAACTATAATCTAGAAATTTTATTAATTATACTCATACATTTGTTATACTTTATCCCATTCTCCCATTCTCTTAGGTACGTCCTTTTGAAATTCATTGTAATTCTGATCATGATCAAACCTATCATCACTTTGACAATCATTGAAAAAGATAGGTGAACCACAATTAGGCGCCTCATAAAATGATCTCTTCTGTTCTATTTACCATTCTATATAAAGGCTTCAAAAGTTACATTATTATAAATAAATATAGCATTTCTTTTCAACATTAGATCTTGGATGTTTTCAAGTAAATTTTATTATTCACAGACATTATTCATCTATTCTGATATGTATTATTCATCTATTCTGATATGTATTATTCATTATTTATCTGTATATTAAGTAGGAGTACCAGGGGCAGGTTTAGCCACTAAATGCACTGAAGTTCTTAATTTTAATTCTTTTTATTTTTGTAATCATAAGGATAATCAAGATACATATTTATTTATATTTTTGAGTCATCACTAATTTTACCTTATTATTTTAATAATACCAAATATTGAAGACAAGTATTTTCAAATTACAGATTTAAATTTTCAATTTAGAGATAAAAGAATATCTCCAATAATTGCATTTATAAATGCTGATTTTTTTCTTCTTTTTCCTAGCTTCATTGCTTTTGGATTTGGATTTGATGAAGTAAATGCTTATATGGCTATGGCTCGGATGACTTTTGCTGGCAATGAAATTGGTGCTATAAATTTAAAAAGAACCAAATATATTCATTTTTTGGCTTTGTCATATTCATCACTATTTTAATGGTTAGGTTAACTTTCCTAAACGAACTGCAACTTTAATAGAGCAGATAGATAAGAGATAAATTATATAATTTTACAACTTTATCCTATTTTTGTTTTTGGCTCTTTTGTTATCGATGGTCTAAAAGGAACATTAACTGTAATTCTCAAAAAAATTGATCAAAAAGATTGTTACTCTAAGCTTTTAGTATATTTATAATAGGAACAAATTTATTTTATTTTATTTTTATATTTTGCCTGTAACTTTGATTTAGGATTAAAAGTTGATTGAATCAGGTTATTTTTTAACCTTGCTAATGCACTTTTGGCTGTATTTAATTTTGATTTTTATTGCTAATTGGCATCAAATGAGTGAAAGAATTTGTTCAAGATCTGAAAAAAAAGCAAAGCTAAATTAACATGATTCTTTGAATAATGTCTTTGTAGAAAATAATATCAAAGTTAAGAATAATATAAGAAAGAGAAAGGAAAGAGAAAAAAGTAAAAGGTATTTTATCGATAAATTTTGTCATAAAATACATAATAGAAAAAAAAAATAAAAAAACATCAATTTAATTCAAATATTAAAAATTATTATAATCAAATATAGTTATGAGAATCTGATAAAGAAGGAATTTTATCTTGTCTATAAGAGGTGATGCCAAGCAAATTTAAAAACTATTATTGTCAAGTCTTTCTTGATCAAATAATCATAATATCGTTTACTATAATTAAAATTTTTAAAAATATATACTATCAATTGAAAAAATATTATATTTAAAAGTTATGAATTAGGAAAGATGCTTATTTTTTTATCTCTTCCTTAAATTTAAAAAATTTCATGTCTTTACTTTTCAAAAATTAAAAAGTTTATTCGTTTTTTGTAATTAAGTTAATATTTTAATTATATTCAAAAAATATTGTGAGAATACCATAATAATGAACGATATTATTAGAATAACGATGTATATTACATTCATTTCATTATTTCAATGGTGAATCCTTAAATCCATCTCTCTGCCCTTTTTTTGTTTAATTTGAAAATCTTTATGTTCTTCCAAACAGCATTTATTTGCTTTATATTGCTTAGGCTACTTAATTCTATCTTTCTTTTGGTATCCTCGTCAATCCATATAAAATATCTTTATTGGAACTTTAATTGGTGCTACAGAAGCAAAGTTTTGGTGGAGGAGAATAACTTTTTTTATTTGATAGCTCTTCTTTTTATACAATTTATTCATCATAAAATGTAATTTTTTTTGGTTTATGTTTTTGTTTATTATTTTTATTTTTTTGATTTATGATTGGAGTTATGCAGAGTGTAGGAGAGGATTAAAATTAAGTTTATGAGTTTTTTTAGGATTTAGATTTACATATGCCCATTTTTTATTAAGAATTTAATTGAAATATATTTTCATTTATCAATTTTTAATATAATATATAAAACTAGTTTTTAAAATAGCTCCAAATACCAGTATAAAAATTAAGAATATAGAAATACTGCTCTACTTGAAAATAGCATTAAAATAATTAATTGTCTAAATATAAAGTACAATGCACTAATATAATATATTTAATCAATTTGTCTAATAAAAACATAATTAGAACTCTATCATTATTATTTGAAACTAATTTCATAATCTTAGAATCCATTTTTTTTTGCTTCATCTAAATACTTATACAATAAGGGTCTTGACACATTATTAATGTATAAAGTTGTTAAATAAGTATACATAAATGTAACACTTGAAGCAACAAATAAACCTAAATATAAATGCTTATATTGATTGAGATGTTCAAAAGTATTAGTATATTAGGGTTTAAAAACATATTTTAAAAGCAATTNGAGGTGATGCCAAGCAAATTTAAAAACTATTATTGTCAAGTCTTTCTTGATCAAATAATCATAATATCGTTTACTATAATTAAAATTTTTAAAAATATATACTATCAATTGAAAAAATATTATATTTAAAAGTTATGAATTAGGAAAGATGCTTATTTTTTTATCTCTTCCTTAAATTTAAAAAATTTCATGTCTTTACTTTTCAAAAATTAAAAAGTTTATTCGTTTTTTGTAATTAAGTTAATATTTTAATTATATTCAAAAAATATTGTGAGAATACCATAATAATGAACGATATTATTAGAATAACGATGTATATTACATTCATTTCATTATTTCAATGGTGAATCCTTAAATCCATCTCTCTGCCCTTTTTTTGTTTAATTTGAAAATCTTTATGTTCTTCCAAACAGCATTTATTTGCTTTATATTGCTTAGGCTACTTAATTCTATCTTTCTTTTGGTATCCTCGTCAATCCATATAAAATATCTTTATTGGAACTTTAATTGGTGCTACAGAAGCAAAGTTTTGGTGGAGGAGAATAACTTTTTTTATTTGATAGCTCTTCTTTTTATACAATTTATTCATCATAAAATGTAATTTTTTTTGGTTTATGTTTTTGTTTATTATTTTTATTTTTTTGATTTATGATTGGAGTTATGCAGAGTGTAGGAGAGGATTAAAATTAAGTTTATGAGTTTTTTTAGGATTTAGATTTACATATGCCCATTTTTTATTAAGAATTTAATTGAAATATATTTTCATTTATCAATTTTTAATATAATATATAAAACTAGTTTTTAAAATAGCTCCAAATACCAGTATAAAAATTAAGAATATAGAAATACTGCTCTACTTGAAAATAGCATTAAAATAATTAATTGTCTAAATATAAAGTACAATGCACTAATATAATATATTTAATCAATTTGTCTAATAAAAACATAATTAGAACTCTATCATTATTATTTGAAACTAATTTCATAATCTTAGAATCCATTTTTTTTTGCTTCATCTAAATACTTATACAATAAGGGTCTTGACACATTATTAATGTATAAAGTTGTTAAATAAGTATACATAAATGTAACACTTGAAGCAACAAATAAACCTAAATATAAATGCTTATATTGATTGAGATGTTCAAAAGTATTAGTATATTAGGGTTTAAAAACATATTTTAAAAGCAATTAAAATACTCCAATAGTTCCTAACAATGTCCCTCCTAGACCAAAAGCAAAATAAGCTGAATATTTAGAAATTCTAAATTAATCCTCCTCTTCCAAATGAACATATTGTTTGACAGAATTAAATTTATAAAATATTTTTGATTCATATGGGTGGTCAATAAAGTTATTACCATAAGGATTTAGTGGATGATTTTCACTCATAAATGGAGTTTGTGATCTCAGAGCATTATTATTATTATTTTTACTCATAATATAAATATTAATAAATGTTAATGAAAAAATGAAAGTAACTGATTTCATGTCTCGATTTCTTCATGTAAAAGTAAAGTTAAATAAGTGTCAGTAATTATTTAATACTCATTTAACTCTGCATCATTATTAAGCAATGTTTTTTCTAGAAATAGTGAAGATCTCTCTGATTCAATACCGCATTTTGATTTTATTTCTTCTATTTTCATATTGGGTTTAGCTTTAATATAATACGTCCTATTATTTTAGTCTTGAATAGTTAACATCAAAAGTTTTTGTTCTTTCCGTGATCCACAGAGCAAACAAAAAAAGGTTCCTATAACACTAAATATTAAGAAATTATAATTATAATTAATCTTAAACAACTTTAAAAATAAAACAATAATTACATAAAGTAAGAATTAATAAAATCTCTTTAAAATAGCATTTCTTTTTTTTTTAGACAATAATTACTAAGGAGCATAGTTATTTAAGAGAAATTAATAGAAGAGTAATAAATATGGAATTATAGTTTTATATATTTATTTTAAATTATTTACAGATCTACACGTAATTGAAAAATTATTTATTAAAATGAGCAATAATTTTATTATGGAGATATAAAATATTAATGAGTTTTTTATTAATAGTTTTCTCTAAAAAATAATTCTTATATGATTTATTTGAGTGTTTTTGATATATTATAAACAATCAGAGTTATTTCTTAATGGTCTATAGTTTCTTCTATTTTTGTTTATCTTTTTATACTAATCTTAATTGTTTCTTTGATTTCTTAAGTTCATGTTCAATTTCTTTTTTCCTAAAGACATCCTAGTTTTTTAATTTAGTTTTATACTTCATAAGCATCAGACTTGGTAGCTTCAATAATAGGTGGAATTATAGAATCTCTCTTTTTTAATTTTCTCAAAGCCCAATCCTTTTTATTTTCATCCCAAACCATTCGACTATTAATTTTAAATTCTGGACAATATACTTTTTTTTTTTTTTAGCAAATTTACTATCCTTAACTTTTTAAATGTATGTCTGTTATCTGGGTAAAATAATATTTTCTTTATCATAAGGAAGATCTGTTTCTTATTTACCTTCAATTAATCTTTAAGACACATATTTAAGCTATTCTGATACTTTATCTGCAATAATATCAAAATCATATTGTTCTATTGTATCTAAAGCAGTTAAAGTAAGCTTAGGTTTATCAAAAAGTGTGTTAATATTTGAGGTCATTTTAGGACTTAAATAAATAATAAATAAAATGAATATAAAGTTAATTTTCATATTTTTAGTGTTACTTGCACAAGGAGCTTTTGGTATAAAATTTGAATATAAAAGGTGTTGTAACTAAGGTGACTGAGTGTTAGGCAAAATGTGATAAGCAAGTAAATGGATGCATTTACTCATGTGCATAAACATAGTTGCGATAATCGTTACTCACTCAAGAGAGATGTTAAAAACTATGTGCTGGAGTAAATAAGGAATGCAAAAATACAAAATGCTACTTAGATCCTTGATTAGTTATTTTAGAGATTTTAAAAAACGTATTATATATATTCTCTAACCCCTTTTATCTATTTATTATTAATATTATTTCAATGACAGATGTTGACAATATTATCAAACACAATCAGAAAGTTGTAATAGAAATCATCTTGGCTACGAACACTCTAAGTGCCTTAGGTGCAATTTTAATGATACTAACTTATTTTAAGTACAGATTGTTAAATTAATAGATTTAAAGAACTATAAACATTTGCATTTCGAATAGTGCTTTTTCTAAATATATCTGATCTTATTTTAGCTTTATCTAACATGTTATTAGTAACAGATAACTTCTAAGATAGTAACAATGCATTATGTCTAATTTAATCCTATCTTATCAATGCATCCTAATTATCATCAATAATGTATCCAATTTTATATTAAAAGATGGACTGCTATTATAGCATTTATTCTATATTAATCATGCGTTAATAATCAAAAGGAGGAAACTTTAAGTCTTTATAAATATTTATTTTTTGGCTTTTGCATCCCTTTCTCTATATCAATATATCCATTTTTTACTCATGATTATGGTTTTGCAGGTATAAGTTGTTGGATCAAAGAGGATTATGTAATTTAATTTTCCAATTTTAGATTAACAATTCTTATAGAAGTACAATAATAAGATATATTAATTTCTACATTCCATTGATTATAATCATCTTGTACAATTCAATTATTTACATTATAATCATTTGTAAATTGTATGGAATATCTGAATAATAAACAAAATTTATCTATAAGATGATATCTTATCCATTAATATTAATTATTTGTTGGATATTCACAGCATTTAATAGAACTTATGAGGAAATTTCCTAATAATAATAGATCTGGTTGCTCTACCTATCAAAGGCGCTTTCTGGATTGATGGGCTTTTTTAACTATATTGGTTACGGTTTCACACCTTAAGTAAGGGAATCTTGCTCTTTTTATTGTTGTGCAAACAAATCAAAGACTGTATAAATTGAATTGGAATTGAAACAATAATAAAATCGAGATCTTACTTAAAATACACAAGAGACCAATTCCAGAAATTCTGTGGATTCATAAAGAGACAGTATTTAAGGAGACTTAAGCTTTATTGCTGGATTATATTGATTTTTTATATAATATTTTTATTTCACTTGGCATCTAAGTCTTTATTTCTTTTGGTTCTGACATTTATTTTTGGCCCTAATGAGGTACCATTAATAAAAAATGGGAAATCATCAACATCTAAATCCTCAATGTACACTTCGTCTAGCCTGTTAATATATTTTTAATCAATAAGCCCAGTAGATTAGAGGACAATGGGAATGAAAGATTTATTCTAAAATATTTATTTATAGTCTTCTTTATAAAAAAGAGGTTTGAGATTTTTATGAATTTCTTGCTTAGTTATGATTTTCCTGATTGTAATTTCGTTCCAGAAAGGGTTTTATAAAAATTCAGCATAATCTTCGATAACAATCTCTCCAAATCTATCGTATAGGACATAAACATTTCTATTATCTCTAAAGATTAATCCAAGTGAATCATAATGAGGATATGGCTTAGTGAATTGAGAATATGAACAATTAATTATATCGCTTACTGAGATGCATTCCATACATTCAAACTTCATAAATATTAAATCTCCAGAATCTAATCTATCTAGAACTATCTGATCAGCTCTGAATCCATAACTTAATCCAAAATATTGATTTTAAGGTCTAGTATTGTCTTTAAATTCTACTTCATTCTCTTTTTTAATTTGCAATTCCCTTTTATTTTAATAGGCTTTGTAAAACAAGTAGCTGTAGCCAGTAATGCCAAATATTGAAGAGGTTAAAAGAAATGGTTTTATATTATTTTTAATAAAATTCATTATTGAATTCAATTAATCATCCATATTTCTATTTAAATTCGCCTGCCAATCCTTATCTTTATTGAATAGATTGTTTTTCTCCTTCGCTGAAACGTGTTTAAAACACTATCTATAAAAATAGATGAACAAAGATATTACATCTCTGGTTTTTCCAAAATAAACACTATCCAATTATGAACGTAGATAACTTTCAACATCTTCTACTAAAGTTCCAATTTTCATAATATGAAACAACTCTATATCTTTACCTCCCGCAGGTGCCTCATATGATTCTTCTTTCTTAAAAAATGCAAATAAATAGTACCTATTTGGTCAATGTACCTGTTATATTGAATTTGCCAACATCTTGGTTTGATGATATATTCATTTCTAAAACAACCGAGGTAGTTATCTTATAAGTCCATTTAGACTTGCCATCTGTTTTAACATCAATAACATTAATAGAACTCCATGACCCTTCTTCAATTCCTTTAGTTTTTTCTACATTTTTCCTAATTAACCAAGCAGTAGCAAATCCACCATCATCTTTATCCCAAAAATAACATGATGATAATCCTCCTTCATAATATCTTTGGATATATCAGAATATAAATACAATCTTCTATATTCATCAAATACGGCATTGGCTTTGAGTTCTAATTTACGTAATTGTTCAGAAGGATAAACTGCATCATCAATTGGTGGATAATATTGATTATTTTATGGAGATCTAAATGAGTCTCCATCTCTATTAAACTCTGATTAAATAAATTGATTTCCTTTTTCATCTTGTCCAATATCTAAATGTCATTTCTTTTATACCTAAAGGTTTATCTATCTTTTAGTATAATTCTTCTGCATAATCTGGAATTAAAGATGTTAATGCTGCTGCATTCTTTTAGATTTATGTTGGTGGCAACCTTTTAAGGATGTTCAAGCAAGAGTGAATTTTCTCTTTCGATTCCATTATTAATTATTTATCATTACAATTATGATTTATATACAACTAATAAAGCTAGTGATGCAGCCAATGTCATCCCATAATGAGCCATCAAACAAGTTATGAATCCATACTTTTCTCTGATATGTTCAAATGATCCTCCAATCGACATAAAATATGTGGAAAATCCTATGGCAAATTCCCAATCTTATTTAAATATCTTCAATAACATTATGAAATGGAACGATGCATAAAATAGATTTATTAAAAATCTATAATTCTAGCTCTCTTTGTAAGTTTTCATTAAGAACAATCGCCTCATTTATTATTTATTAATTACCAATACCATTCCTCCATAAATGGGTTGCATATTGTCAATATCAACATAAATACTGCAATATATACAGGATGTTCTAATAAAGGAATTCTTAAGTAATCCATTATTTCTTCTTCCCAATAATATGTGAATATTAATGATAATAACACCATACCAAATGCACTCCTAAATAATGAAAATCCTCTCTTTATCTATTCTTATCTACCTTCTAACTCATTTATGAAATAGACTATTTTTTCTATCATTCTCAGTACCTCTTAATTCCCTCTCTTTGCTTAAAAATTTGATATAAATAACTGGTATCACTACATAAAAAAATTACAAAACACACAGTGTAGTAAGAGCTTCATCTATATAAAATAG